TTATTTGGCAGAAAGATATGGGCAAATAGAATGTATCGCTTTGGCTTTCTACTAATTGCCTAACATTCAACATTTTAATGACCAACCGCTGAATTGATTTAATCGAGATCCATAAAACTGAGTTTCTCCAAAAAGAGTGACATCATAGCACCACTTTAAATCTTCTGGCTTATCATTTTCTTGAATAAAGGCATTCAGCACAAACAAAGCTGACTCAAGACATTTCTTAAGACGTAAACCACCAATTCATTATGTCATCACCATGAGTCTTTTTTTAGAGGGTCTCTGTCCTGTGTAGGACGTGCTGCCTCGTTCCTGTGCCTAAAACACTGTATCCCTAAAATATGACTAAATGTAATGCATCCCTCACAAATCACACACAGACGTTCTGAGTCAGCTTTGACCTCCTTGCCATAGTTTTAATATGAACATTAATGTTGACTCTTTCTCTGTTCCACCTCCCAAAAATGTGGTTCCATCAACTCTTTTTGGATATTGTATTGCTTTGTTTCTGTGCATCTGCCTGCACATGGTTTGTGCAGGTTTGGGTTCACTCCCTGATTTATGTGTGAAAGTGAGAGATTTATGATTACTGCGGCTTTTTTGTTGTTGTGTGTGAGTTATCGTGTGAATTGGGCCAAGTCCTGCGTTTGTGTATTTGTTTCGGGACATTTGGTATGACTTTGTGAGCAATGTGTGCATTCATTTGATTGATTTCCAACTTTTTCATAAACGCTTCGCACATTTGGACTTCATTTATTGTTTCTTTTTCCATCTTTGCAGCACTTTGTATTTGTGCTCATAATTCACTGATTACAAATGACTCCGGATCAGTCTCTTAGCTAAGTGACTAAAATGTTTGCTCTCTTTCCAGACCACAGATTAATGAAACAAAGTGAAAGACAAAGAACGAGACGGAGAGATAAAAGGCAGAGCGTTATCTCACGCAGAGGAAATATTACGAGGCGACAGAGAAAGAGATCCAGGGCTCTCCCGTGTTTCACAGCGTATAAAGTGTCTTTCTCCTTCTTTTTCTCTAAACACCTTGCCATCTCTCCCATCACGGCCATAAAACAATCTGAAGGTCTCTTTGTTCTACTTCTCCCATGTTTCTATGTCCTTTAAAGTCTTCTTCTGTCTAACTACCTCCCCAGAGGGGGAGATGTGTGCTGCTCTGGCGCTGTGTGTGTTCGCGTGTCAAGTGTGTGTGTGTGTCGAGGTGGATCAGTTTCCTTTATGCCGTCATCATGTGCCATCTGATAGGAGCTGTTATTGGTTATTCAAGGCTTATTTAGCTGGGCTGATCTTTCAAACGCACTCGCAGGCGCGTCACAGGAAAGGAGTGGCACTCTTTGGATTGTTCAGTTGCCCTTTTGTGTTTTTTTAATCTTAAGAAAATGAATGTGAGAGAGTGGCAATGGGGGGAAGTGGAGTTTCCATCAAAGAAATAAAGAAAGGAAAGGAGTGAGTGAACAAGGACCTAATCAGAGTAGCATTTACCTTGCTTGTGTGTAGTGTCTAACAATAGACTAACCTTATAGCAATTGTTGCATCTAACCCACCTTTGCACGCAACTGCAGAAGGGCAACCCAATTACCCTATAGGATACTATGTCATGAATTATAATCTTATTTATGCTATCAGGGAGGAAATAGTAACTTATCGTGGATGTGATAACAAATCTATCATTTTAGAAGTGAATGATAAGCTTGGTTTAAAAAATACAGGAATTATCATGTAATAAAACACAAATCAGTATTTATTCTCTTTTCAGGCATGGTGATCTTATTATTTATGATATAGCCCTCTTGTCCAAATGTGGGATACTGTAATAATAATAATAATAATAATAATGCATTTTATTTATACAGCGCTTTTCTGGAAACTCAAAGACACTTTACAGATAAAAACACACTTCAAATATATAAAACACAACATTAATTACAGATTAAAAGCAGCAGAAAAGGTGAGATTTGAACATGTTGAGATTGGGGCAGTCACGGATGTGTTTGGGGAGTGAGTTCCAGAGGGAGGGGGCAGCGATGGCTCTGTCCCCCCAGGTTGATTCCAGTATGTTTTAGTGCCATATTGTAAAAGTTTTAAGCATATTCTGATGGTTATCAGGATAATATCATGAATCACAATTAATTGACCAGTAAAATGATATGGCAGCAATAGCCAAGTTCAGGGCTTCAGTGGTTGATGGCAGAAACAAATCTAATATAAAACATCATTAGAAATGTTTATGTCTCTTCATTAGAACTATAAAGGGAGGTTGAAACTCTTCTAGACTCAATAGACCACAGTGCATTGCAGCACATGCCGCTGAAATAATAACTACACCTTTTTTTAACTAGCAACACTCCTCGCCCACACAATCAGCCACTGAGTGCAACAAGTTCACGGGAGTGGTGAAGAAGTGCATTGTGGAAAATGTAGGAAATCAACAAGCGAGCCAGAAGGAAAAAAAGAGTCAATTAAAGTAAAGTATAGCACTTTGTCACAATACAAGAGTCATTTGAAGCAACAATGAGCCTGCAGCCCAGTCAGGGGAGATAAATGGAGCGAGCTGTGTTTGGGCTCCGTGGGATGAATGGAGCGCTACAGCTGCCACGACGAGCTAAATCTTACACACTGAAACGCACAGATACACACACGCTAACTGAGCAGAAGGCAGGAATATGTTAGGAATGTGCTCGCTGGGATGAGCAACCTTCACGCGGACACACGCACCACGCTGTGCGCTCGGATACACAACAGCGTGCCAAGACACACACATTTCTTCTTCGCGTTCACACACTTCTCAGATCACATGCTGACACATTTGTACTCTTTTCGCGCGAAGATTTGCTCGTGAAGAATTGCTCTCGCTTCTGTGTCACATGCATCAAATCTTTAACACACACACACACACACACACACCCTGTCTTAGTTGCACAACAGGTCAGGATGTTTCACAAGTCAGGACCTGCATGTCGAGGATATGCCTGTCTGTATATCGCTGCGTCTGTGTGTGTCTTGCATTACTAGCTAGTAAGAAAATGTGAACTGTTAAAGACACACACACACACACACACACACAGGCGACAGACTAAGTTTTAGTCTCATTACTGCGGTCTCCAAGGAGTCTCCATGGTAATGGCAGAATGAAACCACGGCCTGTGGGAGAGGAAGTGTGTGTGTGTGCACTTTTGTCATCCCACAGACCCAGAAGTGGTTTAATTCCCCCAGGAAGTGAGTTATTCTCCACAGGCCAATCAGAGGACAAAGTTTGAGACAGAGTGTAATCCAATTGGTCCAGTATTTCTGACCTTTAATATCCACGGCCAATCCCAGGAGAGCACACAGCCAGCAGGGCGATGACATCACAGCCCAAGTGAGGTAACGAGAGGAAGAGAGAGGAAGAGTTTACATACTTGAGCCAGGGACAGTGACCTTATGAGATGTATTCTGTGTTGTTATTGGAACGGAAACATGGGGAGAGCAATGATAAAACAAGAGCAAGGAGACAAACAGACCCAGAGTCAGACAGAGTAACAAGAAGAGCAACATAAACATTTGTAAAAAGTGAAAGCGCAAATAGATTCCTTAAAATACAGCCAGCAAAGCCACACAGATATAAGGAGAGAAATGATGAGTGACATACATGTAGTCAGAAAGCTTGGGGAAAGAGTGCACGGCTAAACAAATATTTACAGTGCGCCCTCCTCTGTGTTTATGGCGGCTTTACAACCACACACTCCTCCTCCTGTCATCCCTCCCGCTCTTTCTCTGCCTTTCCAGACCACGCTTTCCAGACCACGCTTTCCTTCAGGTCAATGGTCTCGCTGGGTCGTTGTTTACTGTTATGCAGTGCAACTATTTTCATATGTTCTCTCTGTGGATTTCCCGTTTTTGCATGCATGCATGCATACAAACACTACTTGTGTCGCAACATCAGTTATGCAAATATTACCCAAATTGTGAGTGCAGTTTTATTTTTTCTGTTTTTTTAAACAAACAGTAAATATGTCACTGCTGTGTTTTATGTCTAAAAAAGCAGAAGAGACTGATAAGATAGATAAACGTGGAAAGAGAAAGTCGAGGGCATAAACATATCAAAAATACATTTTTGTTCCGTCAGTATTTCTGCTTGTTGCTATGAATTGCAAACAGCAGAACATGTCATATGGTGTGTAAGCATACTTACACCCATACCTGTTTATGTACATTTCCTGTGGTTGCAAACTCTATCCTCTACTCGAGCGCATCAAATATCACCCCTTGACCTCAATATGGCACGATTTTTTGAGCACTTATCTAAAAAACAGCTTGGCTTAAAATCACTGTTTTTCATCATTGTAATCTGTCAATTCATCTGTGTATTCTGCCCTCTGTTTTCTAAATATCCTGTTTCTGATACTGTAAATCTGAGAAGTGTTAGACCAAACTCACAACACATCTGAAACCAGGAAATAATTTGTTACTTTAAAAAAAACAAAAAACGTTTGACTGGTGTCGTTGTTTTGAGTTTACATTCACCAAAACGCCCATGTTTGCTTCTGTTAGCATGAAAACATGTGCGTTTTAGCATAATTTAAAGCTAAGGCTGATGGTATGGCCTTTTGTTAAACAAATAAATGTGTGTAGGCCCTTAACTGTCCTTATATCTTTAGTTCAAAATTGTAAGTGATTACAGATGATGTATTACAGCTAATCTCACTTCTTCCTCTTTCCCTGATTTTCAACAGTGATACTGAATGATCGGTACTCATTTGTTTCCATCCAAAAATACAAAAATTCTGAGCTGCTCCAAAATGAAATGACATTTTTCTGGAATCCTGTTGACAACCAAAATACATTACCTCATTGGTTGAGTTAATAATATTTATACAGGTAGCTATTACTGATGTAATTGGGGAATTTCTGTCGTTGATGCAAAATAAGTGATCAATTAGGGATTGACTGACACTAATTTCAATCTTTTTATTTATTTATATTTTATTTAATCTGTTTTATAGGAGGTGGAGACTCTGGACATCAACACCATCAGGGACACCAGGACAGGAAAATACGCCAAACTACCAAAGGTCAGTAATGTGTGTGTGTGTGTGTGTGTGTGTTATAGAGAGAAAGAAGCTGTCACCTTCTGCTGTTGATAACTTTGTCCTCTGACCAGACTTGTGACTGTCACAAAAAGATGTGACCGTGTGTGTCCACTGTCTGCGAGTGTTTCCTCCCTCAGCTGATGGTGCAAAGGTGACGGAGCGTTAATGAGCCTGCTGACAGATGGGCTCTCATACAGGAAGTGATATAACCAGTGACCGTTAGCGAGGAAGTCGTTTTGTAAGACATAGATCAAGCTGAAGGAGACGCTGATATTACGCTGCTAGTGGCTTCAGTGGTTCAAACATATGCTGGCTCCTGGGTCAAATTGGTTACAAAAAAGCTGTCACTGTGGAATTTGATTCTGCTTTCATTTGGTTAAGAGTTTATATTTATTTGCTAATAACTCAAACCAAAAAAACAGCATTTCTAGGATCTATTATGTGAAATGTCATGTGGTGATGACAGCTAAGTTATTTCAAAATGTGGTCTTTTTGTGGAACAAAAACAAAAAAGAATCATATCAGACTGGTTCAACTGCCTAAAGTCACAAACTGCAGATAGTTTACAGAGATGTTATCAGAGAAAACCCTGGATAAAAGAAACCTAAGTGTATGCCTCCTGAACTGCACCAAACCACGGGTGGATTAAATAAAAACAGCTCTTTAAATGATAAATAGATTATCATTATTTCAATGTTTTTACTTGTTTATTTTAACTAAATAGAATGATCTGTATATTGGTCAAACTGTATTATCAGTACTATGTGTACTATGTCCTTCTTAAATGATTGCATATGAAGTTGTGTCTACCACATTGACCACACTGTGTTAAGAACATACAGTAGACAGACACATTTGGGCAGAGGCGAACCATTTGTAAACTCCAGATTATATTCAGCTACTTCTCTGTGTACTGAAGGAGTGCTTTAATGGAGCACTCTTCCAGTCTTTGCGACCAATCAAAACGCTTTTACAGCACAAACCAGCATTCACACACATCCCTACAGAGGCAGAGGTGGCCATACAAGGTTCCAATCCCAAACGTGGACTTGGACATTCACACTGTTGGCAATGCCATCAATTTGGGGTTCAATATCTTTCCCAAGGACACGTCGTCCTGATGGACTGGGGCTCAAACCACTACCCCTTCCAATTGGACGACGACCGTCTACTTCCTGAGCTACAGCTTGCCTCAATCGTTGGTCGACTTATTGTTGGAGATCTACACCTTTATCTATTTTCTTAAAATGTTTGCAAATAATGATGGTTCCCACCGATTGAAAAATAACCATTGGTGGACTCAAGGTTGATTATATTTTCTGTCTGTGTTCTTCTTCTGTGTTACCGTTGTTGCGATTGCCATGTGAACAGGTTCAGCAGGGATGCTTTGGCGGCCGTTAACAAACCGTACTGTGTGTGGGAAACACTATCTAAAATGTTTATATCCAGAAGCAATGTTGCTCTTGAAAATCCACAGAACTCGCTGTCAACAGTTTTACGAGGACTATTTCTATGGTTTCACAGAAAACGGTTTAAAGTGAGGCCTGTGTAACGTCTTGAGTCACATGGACGCCGTTTGTTTTCTCCGTAATTTGATTGCACTGATCCTCTAAACTCTCGCTTGCTGCTTGAGTACATTTTGTGCGCTGCTTTGGCCGGATTTGTCTTGATGAACGTCCATCCGAGTTGATTAGTTAAATTGGAATGAAAGGGAGACATGATAGAGAGGAAGTGATGGAGAGACATTGAGTGTTAGAGACGGTTGGTGGTAGATGAAGAGTCTAAAAAGGAGGAAAGAGTCGTTTAGTTAATTAGATCAGAGTGCTACACCACATGCATCACATTTACTGTTCTCAGGAGGCCGAGAGCTGGAGCGGGAAGGATGGAGAGTGTTGTGGTCGATACATTATGTATGCAAAGTGTGTGTCTATAAAAAGTGTGTGTTTCTGTTTCAGGACGCCAAGCTGCGGGACGTGCTCGGCTTCGTTAAGGGAGGCAGCGTCGAGAGGAAGCTGGTAACCGTCGTCTATGGCAATGACCTGGTCAACATCTCTTACCTGAACTTCCAGGCCATGCAGGAAGATACAGCCAAGGTAACCATGGAAACCACCGTCCAATAACCTACTCACTTAAACCTGGCTTTAAAGGAACAGCTCACCCAAACTCAATCTAGATTGTTTAAATATGAGCTGCCTATATATGTGTGCCTTCTTTACAATATAAGCGGATGGCACTCGCCCAAAAAATGTATTCAAAACCACAAAAGCATTATATTTTTTCAGAAATGACAATACGGTTACTTAAGATTATCGACGTTGACTATAGACCTAGTTGTAAGCAGTTTCATCTGAGTACATTTACTCAAGTCCCAATCTTAAGTACTACTTTGACATAAATGTACTTTTTTTTTACTGCACAACATTTATGTAATGCTTGTAGTTACTTTTCAAATCGGAAACCCATGTATGCCTTATTGATATGATGCAGTACAGTACACTACTCCTGAACACAGTATTAAACCATTTTAAATACACAAAATACAACATGAGCATGCTCCTATATGCATTTGTTTGTGATAAAAACAGCAATATATAATATTCTATAGTAATATAACACTCTGTTATTATAATTTTCACGCAGGAAAGAACGTTTGCTGATAAAACTCCTAATTACTACTACTTTATCGACATTTTGACTTTTACTTGTAATCGAGCATTTAAACACAATAATCATCCGGGTACTTCTTCCACCTTGGGTTTCCTGTAGGAACTATTTTCTCTCTACCAAACTACACCACACAAAGGGAAGTGTTCATTGTCTCATGGGCAAGAGGCTTGTGATCAACTCACACCAAAACAGTCTAGATGAATAATAGCGATACAGGTTAGACAGGTTAATACAGGTTAAGTGTTGAACTTTCCCTTTTATTTTGATCTTCCTCTTGTCATCTCTCCATCCTCTCTCCTTATCCCCTAAACTAGTCTCCTTCTTTCCTCAGGCCATATGCTGATTGCTCACTTTACGATGTTGACATTAAGGCATGTGCGTGTTTAGGGGTTGTAAAGAGGGATTTCTCTTGAGTGTGTGTGTGTTGTGTATATAGTAACTGTTCCACTTAGTTTTGACATCAGACGAAGAGTTAAACAACCCTGTTTTATCATCCCGTGTGTGTTTCCAGATTTGGACAGATGAGCTCTTCACTTTGGCCACAAACATACTTTCCCAGAACGCATCGCGGAACACCTTCCTGCACAAAGCGTAAGAAGAAGTCTTATCTTAAATTTCGGGAACTGTAGATTTCAGATATTGGTTTTTAAACCCTCTATTTCTGTTTCAGGTACACTAAGTTAAAGCTGCAGGTGAATCAGGATGGGAAGATTCCTGTGAAGAAGTGAGAAACACACACATCTACCACATTTTAAACTCTGTACAGAATTTTAAACACCAGTGCTCTCCACTTCTTCATTTCCTTTCCTCTTCTCTGTCTCTCTTCCACTTTCTCTCGTCTTAAGTTCACTTTTGGTTTTACCTCCTCGCTGTTGATGATTAAAGGAATCCTTTTGAATAATGACTGCTAACTCTCCAAACTCTCTGTCTTTCTGTCAGTATCCTCAAGATGTTCTCAGATAAAAAGAGAGTGGAGACGGCTCTGGAGCAGTGTGGCCTCGTCAATAACAAGGTAATCATCTGAAGCCATCACTGACCACAGGACAGCTTTAAAAATGCCTGTTCAGTATGTTGGTTCATACATTCGAAAAGTTGCAAATCAGTCACCCTGGGGTGCTGCAAAGCATTCTCTGCATGCCTTGGCTCTGTTAGAAAGGCACCAAACGGATGGAAACTAGCTCAAAGCTCAAATCTGGCTAATTTACATTTAAAAACATTATTTTGTTTAAAATGTTCATTAATGTGCACTGTCCCGGTTCAAATAAACAATTAAATTAACAAATAAACTAAGGCTGCAGTCTTGTGGGAGAGTAGCTTTAAAGTGGACATTTTAATTAACTTTAATCAAGAGTTTTTAAGATTGTTTTGGCACAGATGAAACAAACAACATATCTAATGCTAATGACTTTAAATACTGGTTCGCAGTCACAGCTAGATTTGTCTACTTAGCTTTGTGCTAAGCTAAGCCAACCAGCTACTGGTACCTTCATATTTACCGAGTAGTGTAAATCTTATCACCTAACTTTGAATAAATACGTCTATTTCCCTAAATGTTATACTATTTTTTTCCTGTTGCAATTAAGGTATGGGGTTTCTCTTTAATATGCAGTCAAAAAGACTTTAGAGCAAATGTGTCTGCAATCTAAAAAGATTAAGAGTTGTGCTAAGAAGAATTCCAAAGCTATGTTTGCCAAACCAGAAGTTTGGCTGTGACCAACACGGCTGTTTAATAAGCACACATCGATTCACAGCTCTCATTTATTAACTGCGGATGATGCCAAGCTGTCACTCACATTTAGGGCAACATCAAACAAAACGTTTGGATTCGCAAACAAAACTTTAGATTGCAGTTATTGACAGTGCAAAAGTCTTATGCTTGATTGCAAAATGAAGACACAATAGTAACCCCATTTTAAGGTTGCATACACAAGATATCAAGTAGGTGAGAAGTTGCACAATAGTCCCTAATACATTTCAATAGAAACCCGGGCTTCATTCATTCTGTCAAACCTGAGAGTCAGTGAAAGGGACCGCAGGCTTGTGGTTTGTTAGGTGAAACAAGGTTCTTTGTGTCTTATTGCTCAGTGCAATCTTTCTTGAAAATCAGTTTAGAGTCACAAGACATTTCCTTTTTGAATAAGAGGTAAGATTGGGCAAACTGCACTGTCAGCACTTCTCTTTGTATTGTTGTGCTCTGGTGCCTCCTGCTGGAAGAGTAGCAGAACACACATGAAGAGGGAAAAGACAGAAGGACATCTGATCCACAATTCTGGGCTTAATTATCTTCAGCCCTTAACATTTACAGTATTTCAATGTTTTTGGGGATCATTAGTAAAGATTAGAATGATTTACATGTGTTAAATGTAGTATTTTATCCTCAGTTTGGTCATTGTCCTTCTTTCTTTTCCCTCCATATCTTTCTATACAATCTTGTTTATTCTCCTTCAGATCGAGGGAATCAAGCCAGATGATTTCACGTGGGACGCCTTCCAGAAGTTTCTTGAAAGCCTTTGTCTCCGGCCTGAGATACAAAGCATCTTTGAGGAAAGGTATGTGATAACATTTTTTTTTTACAAACAAATCCAATCTCTTTCCATTATGTTGTCCAAAGGTTTAACCCCCACCCTAAATCGTTTCATAATGGTGCTCTAGTTGTATTTTTAGGATTCCTTGTAATGCCAGCAACCTTTATCGGTGACACACACACACTCTTTTCTCTTTCGCAGTGGCTCCAAGAGGAAGCCGTTCATCTCTTTGGACCAGTTGATAGAATTCATTAACCACAGGCAGCGAGACTCCCGACTGAACGAGGTGCTGTACCCCCCCCTGAAGAGAGAGCAGGTCCGACAGATCATGGAGGAATACGAGACCAACGTCAGCCAGCTGGAGAGAGGTACGTCACTTTGAGAGTTCTTTATTTATGTGTACACATTCCTGACATTTAGATGCTTGTATCCAGAGCAGATAAGACATGTGATCTTCATTTATGACAACATGGGCTATATTGACAGAGAAACCTGAATTTGCAGCTGCAATCAAATGTTCTTTCTGCATCATGCACCAGCATTTGACGGAACAGAGATTTTTGAGTCTTCACCTCTGGGTATCCAGGGGGCGTTCATGCTTTTGATACTGGTAAAAAACATAGCTTACAACCTGGTAGAAATTCCATTGTGTGATTAATAGAGCTGAAAAGATCAATCAACCAAACGATAACCTTATGGCCAAATAAATGATTGTTGAAGTAATTTCTCATGCCAAAAAGCAAAACAGTTTTCAGCTTATTTCGACATATCCTGCTTTTTTATTTCATATTAAACTGATAAAACAAGACCTTAGAAGACGTTGGACTTTGAATACAAATGTTCCATTCGATAAAAATACACAGTGCTGCTAATATAAATCAGTCCTGTTTTTTTTACCTTTAATTAGCTGCCCAAAGATCATCCAAGGTAATGTCCAGGATACACTGACCTTATTTAGCTGCTGAATCAAAGACCCACACTTAAAGAGAATCATGTCACGTAAATAAGAGTTCAAAACAAGAGTTCAGAGTACGTGCAGCTGTGTCCTCTTTGATCTGTTTGTCCCAAAGCAGGGTTTACCAGCTGCAGTAGTACTGAGAATATTACAGGTTTATTGGTATGATTGATTCCTGGTTCTTTTAAAGCAGCAGGTTGTCCTTTTCTTAAATCCTTAGACATCCACTGAAATAGATATCTGTTCTCATCCAGAATGTGGGAATCAGCTGCGATGTTGATCAAATGTTCTCGACATGTGTTGCTGTGGATACACTGTAGAAAAACTGTGGAACTTGCACAGCCTTGTCTGCCGTTAGCTGCCCTGCTATGACACCGTTAAGCCAAAAACTGTAAGGTGATCAAGAATCCAGCCCCACAGTGTTCAGACTCAGCTGGAGCTCCCTTTAAGTCAGGAAACAGAAGCCTTTTCACTTAATTATAGTATCCTCCAGTCTCTGCCCTTCAAATCTTCAGAGCACCAAACAAGTTTGACCTTTTCTAACTACAGGTTAATACGTTTCATTCTTCTCCCCCTCTCTCTGTCTCATATGCAGATCAGATCAGTTTGCAGGCCTTCACTCGGTATCTGGGAGGAGAGGAAAACAGCATCGTTCCTCCAGAGAGGCTGGATATCATCGACGACATGAATCAGCCTCTGTCTCACTACTTCATTAACTCATCACACAACACATACCTCACAGGTAAAAGAGATACACACCTCAGAACTAACATGCACGTATGATGCTGCATTCTTTTGCTTTTTTTTTTATATTCAACATTTTCCAAAGAAGTAAACGTACAGACAAAATGTTACAGGACTGCTCCTTGAAAGATACAAAATAAAGAAATGAGGCACAGCAACTCTATAGTAAGAGACAGACAATGGGGACATTAAATGCACATTTTTGTTTAATGTTCAGTGTCCCCAGTTCAGACATTTTTACACAGGTATAATTAACTTAAATTCAGAAAACAATATTACAATGATCATATCAAAAATCATTGCAATGGTTTCTTACATTTCTGCAAAAAAAGAGTTCATCTATCGAAAGAGCGTCATGTTTTCTTCTAGAGTCAAAGTACCCAGTGATTACGATTACAGTTTTTCTAATGGAATTAGAGGAGACTTCATTCCCGACCCTTTTCACCATCAATAGCTTTTCTCGCCAGCATTTTAGGTCATTTCAAAGCAGATTTAAAAGTGAATTTGCAGACACCTCCAGAATGATTAGTTGCTATCTTGCAAGAAATGCAGTCTAGTACCTACCTGAGTTTATCAACGCTAACTTTGAATATCTATCTTATATATAAAACCATTTGCCCTTCCTTTGTGTGTGTGTGTGTGCAGTGGGTCAGCTGACCGGCCTCTCCTCGGTGGAGATGTACCGCCAGGTGCTGCTGACCGGCTGCCGCTGCATCGAGCTGGACTGCTGGAAGGGCCGCCCGCAGGACGAGGAGCCCTACATCACCCACGGCTTCACCATGACCACTGAGATCCCCTTTAAGGTGGGATTGATTTTCATTTATTATACAGGATTATTCCCTTTTGAGTTTGAACGTTAAAGAGACTTTGCTCTCATATATATGTACTATACAGGATTTTACAAGGGTGTTAAATGTTCACTTCCAGCTTTCATTCATAACAGGAATTGGGGCGGCTGTGGTTTAGTGCGCTTAACTTCAGATATACAGGTTCAATCCCACCTTGACCGCCACTGCAGTCAGCATGTCGTTGTGTCCTTTGGCAAGACACTTCACCCTAAAATTGCTCCTGTGCGTATTATCCACAGTATTCAATGAATTACATGTCTAATATATGTAATATAATGTATGTAAAGCGCTTTGAGCACTTGGAAAAGCGTTAAAATACTGTAAATACCATGAATTATTAATTATAACATTTCATTTCTAAATTAGCATTCTATATAAAGATATTTTCTTATGATATGGGGACAGACATATAAAGCTTCATTGGAAAACCTCAATAGAAAAAAAGACATTGGGTCTAGTTTATTTGATAGTTTATTGACTTATATGTTCCCCTTTATAAAGCACTTACATGCTGAGGTGCGATTTCTCCTCTGCTAGTAAAACTATAAAACATTATTATGGGGACCTCTTGCCAAAAATGAACTGAAGCAAAAAATGTATAGAGCTGCTTTTAATGTTTTATTCTTTCTGCCTGCAGGAGGTGATCGAGGCGATAGCAGAGAGTGCTTTCAAGACCTCGGCGTACCCCCTCATCCTGTCCTTTGAAAACCACGTAGATTCGTAAGTGACACATGTATATATCACTAGAACCAGATGCAATATTCAAGCATTTATTGGAAGTTTTAAACAGTCTTCCTTGATGCCGAGAATAAATCTGGGCTGTTATAATAGCAATTGATGATCGCGAGGAATTTGGGTTTTAATTGAAGGGTTAAAGTAAATGAGAAAGTAACCCGTGTCTCTTGCTCTGTCAGGGCTAAGCAGCAGGCCAAGATGGCAGAGTACTGCAGGACCATCTTTGGAGACGCCCTGCTCATCGATCCACTGGAGAAATATCCGGTAAGACTGATTTCCAGGCAGATCTGACATGAACAATGTCCTTGTGGGATACATTCATTTATGGTATCCTTTTAAGGCCTTTTTTTGAAGTGGTTTGTCACTGACATTTCCTTAAGGAAAGATTCAACACACTCATGTCCTTCGACTCCACAGTCATGGTGTTAATCAACTTACAAACCATCAAAAGGATGAAACAGCTTGTGATACCCAGATGATATTTTTTTGCTGAGACACAACTTGTGATGCATTTCTCTGTATTAAAAAAAAACCTTACACCAAGGGTCCTGGTACCAGATTTGATCATTAAAACATTTTGTGTGATCGGTTTCTATGTTTCTATGTGTGAAAGGGGTACATAAGGGTATTTGCAGAAAGTTGTGCATGTTTTCATTTGTATTCTAGTGTTTTTCTAAGAAAGTATAAGCAGGGTTCGAAAATGAAGTACAGAAAGTATATGTAAACATTTCCTCATGTGTTTATATACATGCAGATTAAAATGTATAATTAATGTAGTTTTTTACCAAAGTATTTGAAAAGGCAGAGTGTAAACACTTGAAATTAAACACAATTATCCGAGTTTTAAGAATCTTAAACTGTTCTTAATTTAAACAGTTTTAAGGTTGTTAACTTTATTTACAAAGTTGTACAGTAGTGTTTGTGCTTGACCCTGTGACTTTTGTGTCTTAACACCAACTATGTATAATATGTTGCCGGTCCACATCACTGACACAGCCCTACTTACCTTAATTCTTCTTCCAAATGTTACATGTTGTCTTTTGTGTTTGGTCAGCTGGACCCTGGTCAGCCGCTCCCCACCCCACAGGAGTTGCTGGGGAGGATTCTCATCAAAAACAAGAAGAAGCACCAGCACCACCGACCCTCGAGTAGCGGCAGCATACGGCGCAGAGAGCTGGAGGAGCAACCGTCGCACAACAACGGTGAGAGCAGGCGACTACCTACATCTCTGATTTCACTTCTAATGTCACTCCTATCTGACTCTAATGAGTGTTTTGAGGAATAGGATCTTACAAGCTTACAATGGGGTTAAAATAACCGTTATTCCTTTAAACTTGTATTGCACTAAACTACAAGTTTCCTGTTAAATGTGTAGAAGGCCCACTGACAGATGGCGAGGGAAGCCATCTGCTGACTAACGGAGAGGAAAAGCTAGCTGAGAGGATGGTCAAAGACTCTGAGCCACGCAAATCCCTTGGTGGGTTCTAGACGAAGGTACAGATGGATTTAAGTTTTATTAAGTCAGACATAAGTTTTGCCTAAAGTGTATGTATTGCATGTCTCAGGGGGTGAGGGAGAAAGCGAGGAGGATGAGGAGGACGAACCGGTGACAGACCTGAAGAAGCCCAACTCTGACGAGGTAAGAGCCTCCAGCGGGTGATGATGTTGTGACGGGCTCAAGTGTTGTGTGACTGGATGATTGATGGATCAGTGCTATCTGCCTCCTTCAGGGTACAGCCAGCAGTGAGGTGAACGCCACAGAGGAGATGTCCACTCTTGTCAACTACATCGAGCCTGTCAAATTCAAGAGCTTTGAGGTGGCAAACAGTAAGTGTGTGGATGTGTGTACATGGACAGATTACTAAACAGGCCTACCAGCTATGCCAAAGAGACCAAAACAACTATTGAGAACTATGAAAAGGGGTAAAACAACTTCAAAGAGACATAGAGCAACTACAATGAGACACAACACATCTACAAGGAGATAAAACAACTACAGAGATACAAAAAGACAAGTGTATGAGAAAGATATGAAGTGAAAGAAGGTGAAGTCATTTGTGGTTATTGATCTTGTCATACAGACCTGTCTCACATTGACTATTTTAACCAATTTCTGAACCAGTGTCGGTTTTTCTGAATGAATTGTTTCTCTTATTTCTCTCTCTTTCTGTCCACCAGAGAGAAGAAAGTACTTTGAAATGTCCTCATTGGTGGAAACAAAAGGCATGGACATCCTGAAGGCTTCCCCCATCAAGTTTGTAGAGTATCCTTGAAGGCTTGTTACCTCTTGACAACTTATTTTAGGAAATTCAAACGCCTCTATTTTGTCCATTAGAATGGAAAGTAGTGAGGGAGTAAAAATATGACTTTAAAATAACGTGAACAAAATGATGTCTGCTAACACATATGCCACGTATACAGTGTTTGGTTCTTAACAGCGCTCCTCCAGGTACAATAAGAACCAGCTGAGCAGAATCTACCCTAAAGGAACGAGGGTGGACAGCTCCAACTACATGCCGCAGCTCTTCTGGAACGTCGGCTGCCAGATGGTGGCGCTAAACTTCCAGACCCTCGGTGAGTCCCGTTTATATCTCCTACTTGAACTTTTTCCTGGATATATCTATTGTGCTCATTTATGACTCTATATATATATAAATAATTCAGATTTTATAGAAGTCTATGAGAAATGACCGTATTTCTCATTTGACTTATTACCTAGGAGGAGTCTATGGTCTGAAACACTATTGCCATTCATTCTTTAATACAGCATGATGTTAAGTTTGTAAATGATTGCCCCATTTTGACAAAAAAAAAAATGAAAAAGCAGCGTTTGCTTTAGGGCGGGGCTTACTTGTGATTGACAGGTTGCTATAACGCTGTTTTCCAGTCTTGTTTTTTCGTCTGGTTTTACTGTTGCTAACCTTTTTTCCCAATATTTTATGAATTGTAAAGTGTCCTTGGGTGTTAAGAAAGGCACCTTCAAATAACATGCATTATAATTATTATTAAAAACTGAAATCCATTGAAAAGTTTGGTCTATCACCAAAGCCTCTGCTGATTAATTTCATACCTGATATGTTTTAATCCACAAGTTAGGCACAATACAATATGTAAACAAGCTGAGTGTGATTTGATGCTACCTTGTTAGTTTGAGCACATTCTACTGAGGGTCATTTTGCAGTTTAGCATGAGATGGCCTAACATGTGAGCTCGGCCCTCAAAGTACAAAGTATCCACAGAACCATAAATAAGGTATTTTTTAAGTTTTTATTTCTGTAGCTGGCAGATACTGTGGTATTTTGAAAGTTTCTTCAGCCTTATAAATAATTCCCTACTCAGAGAGGTCAGGCTAAAGCATCTTAGTCTTCATCCCTGTAAATCCCTCTCTTCCCAACTTTTCTTGATGCCTCTCATCTCTTTCCCCCCTTTCTCTGCATTCCTCCTCCAGACCTCCCTATGCAGCTGAACATGGGTGTGTTTGAGTACAACGGCCACAGCGGATACCTGCTGAAACCTGAGTTCATGAGAAGGACGGACAAACAGTTTGACCCTTTCACAGAAAACATAGTGGATGGGATAGTCGCTAATACTGTTAAAATTAGGGTAAGGACAAAACATGCCATCATTCAGATATTCAAGTTCTCTTTAAGAGTTGTTATAATTAACTTGTTGGATTTCCACCAGGTGATCTCAGGGCAGTTTCTGACTGATAAAAAGGTGGGCGTGTATGTGGAAGTGGACATATTTGGACTTCCTGCTGATACAAAGAGGAAGTACAGAACCAAAACATCCAATGGGAACTCTCTGGACCCCGTGTGGGACGATGACATGTTTGTGTTTAATAAGGTGCGCATACTAGGATACAGATGTCATGTGAAATGTCCCGTCAGCCTTCATTGTCTGTCTTTATACTCCTGATGGTTAACTGCACCAATGACATCACCTCTTCTCTTTGCAGGTGGTCCTCCCCACACTAGCCTCTCTGAGGATAGCGGTGTTTGAAGAAAATGGAAAGTTTATTGGACATCGAATCCTCCCTGTGTCAGCCATAAGACCTGGTCAGCACACACACACACACACGCACACGCACACACACATGGATGCAGGTGATGTGAAAAAAACGTGTGATCTGTTTTCTTAATTTAGTAAGAACGGGTGAAAATAAGGTTTGCCAGGGTCATTCCTTTCCTTTAAACAATCATGTTTAATTGAATATTTGTGGAAAATAGGTGAATATCTGATGTTGATTTCAAACTGAATGAACTTGTTAAGATGCATGGACAAATTAAACCTCACCTAAAGAAAAGCATCTAACATGATTTTAGATTGTTGCATAATGGATCACCAGATATTTTTCTTTCTTAGACTTCCATAGAAAAGTCTTGTTATTACAAAGCCGATGTCCTGTATTTCTGCACTCAGTGTTTCTGTCCATTATCCTCTCCGGGACCAATGGAGAGTAGTCATGTATTTATTTTCGTCTTTCTTTTCTTCCTCCTTCCCTCCAGGCTACCACTACATTAATCTGAAGAGTGAGCTGAACCAGCCGCTCATCCTGCCCTCTCTGCTGGTCTACACTGAGGCTCAGGACTACATCCCCAATGAACACCAGGGTGAGACCCACATCAACAACACACACACACTTCAGTCCCTTCACCCCAAAGTGGCACTACTTTCATATAGATTCCAGCTGTTCATCCATTACTTTTTGCTATCTATTTGAACGATTTTACTAGCTGACAGTGTTGACTTTTCTGCTTTACTGCTAAAAAACGTTTCAGACAATATCAAAGGGAACACGTTAGAAATATTAAAGTTAATGAAAGTTTCCTGATTTTAAGACTTGATTTACCATAAAAGACTTCATACAACTTTGCTGATGTTCAAGAATAATGTCACAGTTGTGTATGATAGTAACAACCTTGTTTGTGTGTGTGTGTGTTTTTCTCAGAGTATGCAGAGGCTCTGACCAACCCCATTAAGCACATCAGTCAGTTACACAAGAGGGAGACTCAGCTGGCTGTTCTCATAGAGGACAACAGTGAGGTAAGACAACAACATCCTGATGCTTCGCACATCATTCAAAACGTGTGTGGTTAAGAAAAATCCCTAAAACCCCATGCATTTTTTAAATATCTGCAAACGGTGTGCTGTCACTCAAATTCATCTTCCTGTCGCTTTTTTTCCAGCATATTCCCAACCAGCCCAAAGAGCGCGAGAGCAAGGGGGAGTGGGAGGTCATTCAGGGCGGGGGACTGCCCTCCCCCTTCTCCAGCCTTCCCCCCTTCCCACTGGACGAAGCCCCTGACATCCTCAAACTACCTGCACCGGGTAGAGACCTCTAAACATTGTTCATACACAAGGATAAATGTTGTCTCGCACACGCCTGTCATTTCTCTGCACTTAGGAAAGCGTGTTATGGTAATGTAATACATTAGATTGGTATCACTTTCAATGATTGATACGTTTAACTCACCGCCATTAATGTGTTTCCACTGTCAGTATTACATTAGATTGCAGGTATCATTTATTAAGAGACCATTAACAGTACAGACATCCACTCACTGTGTTGTGAAAATCATGCATCCCATTTATTGGAAGCTTTTTAGTGTTTACAATTCCAAGGGGGAATTTTATTAGCAATTTCTTAGTTGCATTAAGCACAATGATTTGTTCCTGGTTCATTCTCCCATCATCCATTTCACACATTCTGTCTGTGCGTCTCCTTCTCTTTTTTTTGCATGTGTGTGTAGTACAAAGTCCAAAGGAGGACCTCATAGCCACTGTTCTGGCAGGTAAGGTCAAACCAGCACATTCATTCCCTATCATCACTTGGACAAACTAGCAGGTGGCTACTTGTCAGTATTATTCAAATTGAATGATATGATAATTGGTTATAATTCTTTCTGTCAGACATCCAGGTCCAGTCTATAGAGGAGCTGAAGCAGCAGAAGGGCTACTTGAAGCTCCAAAAGAAACAGAGCAAAGAACTCAAAGAGATCCGAAAGAAGCACCTCAAAAAGGTACACACACAGAAACATGCACTTCCATCCATATGATTTATATGTTTCCGTGTGATGTCATTTTCCTCGGCAAAACAAATTATTTAAAATGTCCCTGTGTGTTTGTAGGTGTGGAATCTGAGTAAGGAGCAGAAGAGTCGGAGCAGCCAGCTTCAGTCTGACACCCAGAGGAGACGCAGTCAGATGGAGAAACACCTCAAACGGAGCATCAGGAAAAAGTAAGGATGGATGGATGAATTCATGGGATGAACAGTATGAAGAAAGAACAGTAGATCAAATATGATATCGTAAATTAGGGCGGGAGAAAAAGATTGGATGAAAAATAAGAATAGATTGATATTATAAAGATAGATGGATCTAAATAGGCTGACCTTAAGGGTATAATATTTAATATTTCAGTGTTAAATGAGTTCACAAATGTTATTTCAATTGTTGTGTACTTTCATTAACCCAAATGTTTCCAACAAAGATCTGTAATTTAAACTGGTAACGGTGCCTTTTTATTTGGTCTTCTGTAATGGGGTCTTATTCCCTTTAAGCATGTGTCTGTGTCGTCTGCAAGAAGCTGTCATAAAGTGAGTTGTTATCCAATTTAAAGCCACATTTTTCACAAACCCTTTTCGATCTAGGTTGTTTTTTAAACTGTATATTTGACCCAGATGAGTGATTCAAGTCATTGTACATCAGAATCTTAAATCATCAGAGACACAAGCTGTGTAAGGCACTGGAGAAACTCACATTCATTATTTGTTTCTTATCGGGTTTAATCAAAGGTCTATATTTTGGGGAGGAGAAGATCTCGGCAGATAATTCAGCTCCGGGTCAAAACCTCCAGAATGGTGGTGAAGGCAACTAGTGGCAGAACATGACATACTGTGTGTTTAACCAGAGTTCATTGTGTGTTCAGTGAGCCCAATGAGCCGGTGCAGCGCGAGCTCACCGCTCTGGATCAGGAGCTGGAGAAGCAGTCGGTCCAGCTGAGGGAGTGGCAGATGCAAGAACTCCTTAAACTCCGACAGCAGCTTCACCTACCGGAGCGGGAAAAGCAGCAAACACACCTGCAGGAGGTAACCACACACACACACACACACACACATTGCATTCCCCCAATCTTTGCATACTTCTGCATGCTCAAGGTGACACACTTCGCATAACACAGCACCCCTGCATGAATTCTTAAATATGCAAACACTCCTCATTAGCTGACCTCTAAAAAACAAACCGACGGGGCGCTTTGGCACACCTGCACAGCGATTCTCTGACAGCTGGTCGTCTGCTGCCGTTTGTTTTCAGGCCTTCAAGAAGTTAAAGGAGACGGCCAATGAATGCCAAGCAGCTCAGCTGAAAAAGCTCAAGGAGACATGCGAGAAGTAAGTGCAGCTGCTTATGGTATCAATAGGTCTTAGTTTTCTCCATAATGCCATATTGGGACTTTTGGTTTTGCCACAAGCATTGTTTTTGAATAACATTCACAAAAATGTTCCCATGAAAAGTCCCCTCTGGTAACTGCAATGTGTCTTCAGTTGGACGTAATGCCATTGTACTTGCAGGGAGAAGAAAGAGCTCCAGAGGATCATGGACAGGAAGCGACAGAACAGCATCAGCGACGCCAAGACCCGCGACAAAGACAAGGCAGAAACGTAACGAGCTCGTCTGGAATTAGAGATTTGATTTCATGTTGGAAGGCAGTCGGAACAGTATTTTTTTATTCACATCTCTTTTAATATTCCTTGCCCCTGCTCTTCCTCTCCCTATTTCTCTCTCTAGGGAATTGAATGAGATCAACAGGAAACATATTCAGGATTCTGTCTCTTTAATCGGCGGGGTAAGAAGCCACACACACACACACACACACACATACACACACACACACACACATACACACACACACACACACACAGTCACACACAGTCCTTGAGGAATGCCATTCATCTACTTTATTGTACATTTTTCTGCCTTTGTCATCAACTTTACTCCCCTCTTCACACGCATCATCTCCTTTTCCCTTCCTCCCTAATCCGCCTATTTTATCCTCCGTTCTTCCTTTCTTTTTTAATCCCCTCTTACATATTGCTCTTCCTCCCGTCTGTCCATTCTCCATTTCTACTTTCCTTGCAACCTTTTCTCCCCCATCTGACACCCATCCAATGTACCTCCCATTGTCCCTTTCCTTCCTTCCTATTTCTTACTCCCTTCCTTCTCTTATTTCCTCCCCCCCCTCAGCTGGAGGAGGCTCAGACCAGGAGGCAGGACAAGCTGATGCTGAGGCACCGGGAGATGCTGCAACACATCGATGATGAACTTCCTCTGGTGAGCAAAACCAGGGTTCGAGTTATGTGGGAGCCAATGGGAGCTGAGTTCCCATAAGGAGGGGTCTGAGCTCCCACGGACGCAGTGAAATCATACATCTGTGGGGGTCGCTAATACATTACCAACAACCATTATTTTAATCACAAATAATGCATGTGTCAATGTAATGAGTATTATTTACGTTAACGAGGTAAATAGGCTAAAAGAAAAACATGTTTTCCAAAAGAACTACGCATCTCTTGAATGACAATATACAATACATTATTGCGCAATCTATGCCTGTGAGCGTGCTGCGCGAGCCGAGATGTGTGTGTGTGTGTGTGTGCGTAGTTGAACCTTTTCATATTTAAGTTTGTAGCAAGTAAAGGGCTGCTGCTGTGTGTGTGTTTGAGTGTGTGTGTGTGTGTGTGTGTGTGTGTGCGTGTGCGTTAGTTTTAAAGACCCCCATAGAGCTCAGTTTATAACTCGAACCCTGAGCAAAACACATCGACTCACACTGACATTGATGTACGACAACACATCAGGGTCATTGTACAATAGGTGTTAATGAATAACTATGGAGCTGGGGGGGTGGGGGTAATAATAAGGTTGTACATTAACAAGAACAAATAAATAGAAGGTTATCTGAGATTAAAACGACTTTGAGTAACTTTTCATTTGTCAAGCGACCATGTTGCTTCTGTTGGAGCCATTTTCCTTTCATCTTTATGGTTTGAATGTTTGTCTTTGTATTTATTTTTGTGAGTCACACTACGGTTCAAAAGATATGAATTTAAGGGTCACTTATTTGCTGTCAAATGTGCGCTGTCGGGTATGACGTGCATGTCTATATATACATGTATGGCATGACAATGGTACACAGCCGAGTGTGTGATTAGACGGGAAGCGGTGAGTCTTTTGACCGTGTTCTTTTTGTTCTTTTTTGATACGGAGAACTTTTAGTTAATTTGAAGCGAGGAAGTTTGTCTTCATGCTTGTATGCCGCCTTGATCAAAGAATAAATCTGATGTGATTCAACGCTACAACGCTCTCCACAAAGTTTGGAAGCAAAGAGAGGCGCGTCATAACCCACAACCCCGATAGAGGAAAGTGGCTATTAAATGTAGAAACGGATTAAAACGCCACGACAGCTTCTTTAAACCAGTACGGTGGCTTGGATCGGCCAAAACAGACAAAGAATTAACCGTATTTCAATTATATTCATATAAATAACCCTATTTCAATTATGTTTATATAAATAACCGTATTTAAATGTGCCTATTTCATCAGAAATGTTACGTTTCCCCCCGGAATATTATCCTCCTCCCCAGGGTCCATATATATATATTTTGTCATGTTGCCTACAAAGACCATAGGACACCATAGTATTAAATGTTTGAATATATTTTTTAATATTTTGGTGTATTTTGTGTTTCTCTTGTAGCTCCAGTCTCAGTTGGAGAAGGATCTGGACCAGGAGTATGAGCGCCTGCAGGAGGAGATCTGCCAGCACCTCCAGGTGGAGCTGCACAACAAAGGGCTGAGAACAGACGCCCTGTACTCGCCCTTTCCAAACCAGGGCAGCCCCGGGTCGGGCCCCCCCTCCAACTGCTCCACGCCCGACCGCTGCCCCTGGAACAGGAGCATGGACAATAGCACCGCCTCATTGGCTGATTCCACTTCCTCGTCCACTCCTGTCCTATCAGAGGCGGAGATGTCGTTCAGTTAAAACTATAACGTGTAAAAAGCAAATGCTTACATTCAACTGGGGTCTATAATGATTATAATGTGGGATAGTAATGATATTAATTATTTACTAATTTTATTCCTTTTTTTTATTACAGACTGTTATGTTCGTGTCTACAGAGCTATATCATTTTTTATTTTGCTGCTTTTGTCAGATGCACATGTCTTTTTGTTGGAAGATTTCATTAGAATCATGACTTTTTTTACTTTTCGGTGTATGTCTTTGGCTTTTAATGTCATATCGTCTGATGCCTTTTGTGTTAGCATCATTGAAATGGTCTGGTCAGTAAGCTTTACTGTAGTTAGAAACCAGCTTTACATTCACATTTTATTGACACTTTGAAAGCTTTAAACTGTGCAGAGAGAAGAGCAGGATTTGAAAACAGATGACTTTGTTGAGGGGAAACCTTTTAGAATAAATACAGCTAACCCAAGCAATTCATGGTAATATGATGTTAGTAGATTCATAATGGTCTTATTCCCTAGAAATAGATCAGGAACTATTTAAAACAAAGCCTATGGAGTTCTTTAAGTACTACATAACATTTTTTTAAAACAACGCTGAGAGGTCATTTTCCAGAGTAAAAGAGGGCAACATTTTAACAAAAGGGTTTAAAAGTTTAGTTTTTAACTGTAATGGCAGGAGCTGACCAGCAAGTGGAGCTGCAGCGTTGGCTATTTATTTTAACGCCTTTCATTCATGGAGCGTGATCATCCTATTACACTGTACCCTGACACACACACACACACACACACACACACACACACACACACACACACACACATCTGTCGCATTGTTTAGCATCAAGTCTCTGACCTCTAACCTCCAAACAGAATCCAGACAAGGTTTTTCATCCATCTGTCTAGATAAGAATGTGTTTGTTTGAGAGAGAAAAAAGGGAGGGCCTGAGTGATGTAACACTTCACACACACACACACACACATGCATGACACTGTATTTTGTAATGAGGCGTCTATAAAAATGCAGTGGGACACACACTCAGAGTTAATTGGTTCAGTGGCCAAAAGCCTTTAAAATCCTCATCCCATCCAATCTGTCACAATCCCATAACTTTACAAATATGGCCGAAACTTTTCAAGGGTATTTGAAAGTGAGTGTGTGTGTGCGTTCAGAACTTAATCCCTTGATGTGACATCTGCTCTATCCTAGTATGCTTTAAAAGCATCGGCACTGTAGGAGGCACTCTTCAGATGAGGATATAAAGCTGCATCATGACGTTTTCATGTAAAAATGCGCCTGTATTTGAGGTCTGAATCACCAAATGAGGGTGGTCTTTTGCGTTCTTATTGCAGCTCTGTAGATCTGCTCAATATACCAAATTGTTTAATTGTTCTATAATGTGGTAAGAAGCCCCAGCTCTTTGCTTTAACTTCACTGAAGCCTCAAAATTCAAAGCGTGACCTCTTAATATATCATATTATAGGTAACAGTCGTTCACCTCCAGAGTGACATGGGAAGAGCTTATGTTATATTTTATTTAAGGGTGAATCTGTCTTAAAATAATCCCACACAGCTCCCCCAGTTTGTCCATTTAAGCCAAATATTGAATGTAGGATTGTAGTGCACAAACGGTACTTTAAAAGTTTCCTCAATCTTTATTTCAGCCATTTTTGAAGACTATTTTTGTTTCTTGTATACCACTCTGTTTTGTTGTCTTGTCTGCTTTGAGGGGCATAATGATGGCACTCTATGTACATGTATTCCGTGTAAATGTTTAGTTTTATGTGAATTTGACTACTGACCACAAGTGCTGAAGAGGGATGAAGGTCAGGAGAGGTCGGGGAAGGCTAAGGGAAGAATATCATTTCTGCTTTTTCTCAAAGATAGATTGTTTTTGGGTGAGATTCCTGTCCTCCATCCTTCAGCGAGCGCTGGCTGCCTGTCTATCTGTCTTCCCCCCCCCCACACAAACGTCTTTGTAAACTAACATCTATTTAAATGGAATTTTAACAACGTATTCTTTTGTGGTAGTTTTTTTCATTCAGTTCAGTGTAAAATGCATCTTTTACAATAATCATAGAGCTCTGCTTTTCAGGTCAAGAAATGTTGGAGCCCAAAAAAAGTGCATCAAATTGTTTGTATTGTATGTATAGGATGTATAGGACAACAACAACAACAACATCCTGCTGGTGTGAGCACTTTCTTTAAATATGTACGCTGACCTTTTGAGCTCTAATCATTTTTAAAGTAGAAGATTGTCAGCCTGTTCACCTCTACCTGTCTGCATGCAGAATGTCAATTCTCCGCTATCTATTTTTGGAAGCTAATGTATACAGTCTGAATATTAAACGGGTGAAACAGCCACCATTTTCTAAAAAAGGAGAAAAAAGACGAGACATTCCTCGCAGGTGGTCTGCTTTAAGGGTTGAGTTGGACCAAGCCGTTCTAAGTCCAGCAGCATATATTTAAAAAAAATCATTTATAAGATATGTACATTAGTTCCATGTACCCGTTTTAGTAGAGGCTCTTTTCATGCTTGATTGAATTATACCAATCTCTGTTTTTGTTGCTTGTTCTTCTTTCCCGTTACATCGAAACAACCATTCTTAAAGGAGATAGCACATATCAGGATTTAAATAGCTTAAGTTGTTCGATCTTTAGACCCTACTGTAAAAAAATACATGTTGGTTCTTCCTGGCAGCCAGTGGCTTTAACGTGAGGTGTTGAGTGTCTTTGTAGATCAAACAACATGAATTGTTTGGACATTTTGTTTAGGAAGATAAAGATGGTGTCTTAATAGTTCTAAACTCATTGGTGCAATGGCATTTGGGAGTTTGACACCAGATTCATCTTTTCCCTGTTAGCTCTAAGGCTATAATGTTGTAATGAAATGTCAACGAGCTGCTTTAATACTAGGTCATTAGTTATACATAGCTTAATGTAATGCCTTGGTTGATTGGTAAAATACTACAAATAATAACTGGAAACGACTTGAAATCCCCAAGTTAACTGTTTCATTAGCTGTTTATTGAAATTAAACTTAAAGTCACACTTATAAATAGGTTTTATTTTTAAATTACAACTGATAGTGATGAACCTTGCGAAATACAGTTTTAGCATTTTTGTTGTTTTTAATATTTATCTGCAATTACCTAACAACACACTGCATGCTAAATCATTAGCATGTGCACAGTTCACATAGTCCTATCAACCAGTCGCAGAATTAAAGGAATACTAAACTTCTAAAAAGTCCAATTGTAAATCGATTACCCACCCCTCGTGTTACCTTGAATTATTGAATAAAACGTTTATAGTCCCACATTTTCTTTACTATGAGTCTTTGAGTGTAAACCATGACACTAAAAAGGCCGACATCAGTTCTCTTTTTTTGAATACATGCCTAAATTGGTCTTTGGTGTGTTGCTTGAGCGCACCCCCCCCACACACACACACACACACACACACACAGAGAGAGGAAAGTTAATTCTGCTAATGCCGTTAGCTAGTTCCCTTTCCACCTGAAGGCAGCCGGATGTTTCATGTCCGATGTGAGCTTTAACCTCCTCTTTATGCTGAATTCACTCATTTAAACAGACACGCACATGATCATTCTCTGGCCCAAACACAGCAGCGTCCCATCAGACACTGTGCTGGCTGCAGCCTCACACAAACACTCGTTGACTCTTATTAGACATTTGGTGTGACTCGTCTCCCTGCAGGCCCCCCCCCGAGGCCCCTGGCTGTCATGTCTGCTCTTGCTCTCTTTTTATTCCCCTCTGTCCCACTTCCTTCCCCTCAGTTCCACTCAATTATGGACCATCTTTTGCTTTTGGACTAGTTAAGTTAATTAAAAGCAGTTTGTACTGACATAGTGAAGAAAGCATGCCAGATACAATAGTTGTGTGATAAGTTGTTTGACACTGTATATGTGTAAATGATTGTTGGATGTAAGGGAATACTATACAATGATCCAGATGTAATATTTTATTCATAATTAATATAAAGTATACGACTGAACATTCAGTGATAAACTTCCTGTTACAGAGTTGAACCTTGGTTGTTTTTTTTATGTGTGTGATGAAGTTTTGTCATTGATTTGGTTGTTTGAGTTCGGAGTGATTTTGGTCCCTCAATTTCGAGGCACAGCTATGGCTTCACATTCATTTAGAGGTGATCTTTGCAGAAAGAAGAGGCAAAACTGTCAGAGGAACTGGTTTCAAACTGCAAAGCATCCTAAGTGCATTGAGTAACAAACTAGCTATGTTTGTGTTCAAACTACAGTACACAATTATACGCAATTCTAATTGGCCGCATTCTTTTTGTGAAGGTGTGAATTGGAACAAGGTTGTACATCAGTTCAACATTTTCACAGAGAGAATCCTCATTGATTCACTGGACGGCAGATTTTTGGATAAAAACTTGAGGTTAAAAAGAAAATGTTCCACGGAAAATCGCCGTCTGTCAAGTTTACTGACCTCAGTCCACTGAAAACGTCAGAAGTCAAAGGGAAAACCTAAATAATAGAATAATTACTAAAGGAAGGCTTCCTTATTGAACCGTCGCTAATATGCAAAACATTCCTTATGTCCGGAACTAACTTTTTAAATAAGGTTCCCACCTATATATAAATGTCACTTTTTAGTTACAGTAAGGGTTTTTGTTCGGATCACATTTTTCTCCAAACACATTTTTTAACTAAGGGTCCCCCCTAATATAAATTTTTTACAATTTTGATAATGGTCCCCCATTTTATCCGGAACTTATTTTTTAGATAAGGGTCCCCCATTATATAACATTTTACTTTTTAGATAAGGGTCCCAACTTATATCCAGAACTAACTTTATAAATAAGGGTCCTACCTCCTCCCCTTATGTCTTGAACTAACTTTTAAGATAAAGGCCCCCCTTACAGTATTTCTGTAACTATCTTTTTAGTTAAGGGTCCCCCCTCATATTAAGATTCGAAGGTCCCCCTCCCCCCCTTACTGTATGTCCCGAATACACTTTTTAGATAAGGGTCCGACTTATATAAACATTTTACTTTTCTGATAAGGATCCCCCATTATGTCCAGAATTCACTTTTTAGATAAGGATCGCTCCTTATATAAAAATAATACTTTTTAGATAAGGGTCCGAAAATATTCTTTTAGATAAGGGTCCCCCTTATGTCCGGAACTTAGTTTTTAGATAAGGGACTTTATGTGCAGAATTTACTTTTTAAATAAGTGTCCACCCTTATATACAAATTTAACTTTTTCTAATCACATTTTTTAGATAAGCGTCCCCCCTTATCTCCAGAACAACATTTGTATATTAGGGTTCCCCGTTACTTAAAATGTAACTTTTTTTATCTCCTCCCCCAAAAATATATTATATTATGTCGATAAGTAGCCTATGTTGAAAAGAAGAAGAAAAAAAGCCACAGTGTAGTATTTTTTAATATGCATTAAAACAACGTAGTATAGTATTTCGAAAAAATGCAAAAAAAAATGCATAGTGTAGTATGTCGAAAATATGAAAAAAGGCCATAGTATAGTATGTTGAAAACTGTGCCAAAAACAACATAAGTCAAAAAATTGAAAAAAACGACATAGTATAAATTATGTACAAAATATGAAAAAAACTACATAGTATAGTATTTCAATTTTTTTTAATTAAAACGACATACTAGTATGTCAAAAATATGAAAAAAGTCATAGTATAGTAGGCCTACAGTATGTCCAAAATATGCAAAAAAACGCCATAATATAGTATGTCGAAAATGTGAAAAAAAGTAATATAGTGTGTCGAAAATATGAAAAGACGTATATTAAGTCGAAAAACATGTTCGACTTAAAATGCTATGTTTTTATTTGTTTGTAAATTGTCGTTTTTTTTCAATTTTTGAAATAGTAGGCCTATATTATGTTGTTTTTGTCATTGTTCTAGACATACTATACTACGCCTTATTTTCACATAAAATACTATGTTTTCATTTTTTTTAATTGTCATTTTACGACATAGTATATTATGTTGTTTTTGTCATTTTTTCGACATACTATACTACACCTTATTTCGACATCAAATACTATGTCGTTTTGTTGCGGATATTTGCCATACTATAAAGACCTTTCTGAACATTAAAGCATGGAGACATGTCACAGTAGAGGCACAGAATACAAATATGAACCTGAAAAATGAACATAATAGGGTCCCTTTAAAAAAAACACAGCTTTTCAAATAGCTGCATGAGAAAATAACTCATTTGTAAAATGTTGAAACAATCTGTTTCTTTTGATGTCTTTAAATGATTCGCTTCTGGTGAGAAACATCATTTTGTTGGTGAATACTAATAGAAAGTTGTTTTAAAAAAAAGAAGTGTCGAGCCAATTAACCAACTAAGAAGTGTCAAAATGTGTTTACGCGTGCAGGCAAACATTTGGACCCAGGAGAGAGGAGACGATCAACGTAGCGTGTCACTTCCTGTCTTTTTCCTGATCCCACAGGATAAATCTGTGTCAGCAACAACTCCACAGCTTCAATTTGTTTATTGCCATCTCTGCGTCTGTCTCACATCCCAACTCCTCCCGTCTGTCCGCCTCTCTCTCTCTCCCTCTCACACACTTTGTAGCTCTCCGTCTTTTTCCCTGTCCGTCTCCGTCTGCCTCTTCCTTCTCGTGTTCCTTCTCTCTTTCTGTCCCTCAGGACGGATGTGTTTACTCTTTGTCTTTTCGTCTTGTTCCTCTCCAGCGGAGGATGGAGACGTGTCTCGCCGTCGTGGCTACCGCAGGGCTGCTTTGGGAATAACAGCTGCCATCTTGGTTGTTGGGAAACTGACAGAGAAGAACCAGAAAAAGGGGAATAACATGCAAAACAGTTTCAAAGCTCTGAGTCAAAGTTTGAATTTCTTTACTCTAATTAGGTCAGTCTTAGAAAATAAACGTCATACACACACACACCTGGACTATAATGCAGAGCAAGTGAAAGCACACTCACCCTCCCTCTATCTGCTTTTCCCAAAGTGCCTCAGATCAAATCAGGGAACCACAGTGGAGCTTCTGATTGGCCGACAGCGGTTCTGCTGGTCAGGTCCCAGGCGTGTGTTAATCTCCAACAACCACTCCCCTTAGGCCTGTGCTATAAATATCAGTGTGTTTGTTCTCATGTTGCAGCGTTAGGTAACACCGAGGCGGATGCTGATGAGATGATTAACTGTGAGGCAGTTTAGCTAAATTAATTTCGAGAGTAACGCACCAATGATGACAGTTTTCCAGTTTACGTCATCCCACCCATCCCGAGCATTTAATGGAAGCTAACCGATCAGATCTACACATTAGCATCAAACTTTAGATATTAAGATATGACAACAGTCTGCGTGACTGACGAAATATATCATATATTTTCAATGCAGTTGCTATTTCAAAATAGTTTCTTTGAATGACCAAAGAAGCATCTTGTTTTTCACAGAGCACAACAAATGATCTATGAATCCATCTGTTACAGATAGCTATTAGGGCTAGTGTATTGATTATTGCAGCTCAGTAGAAGAGAAATGAGTGTGAATTTAAAGCAGACTATCAGCAAATTGCTTTATTACACTTAAAACAATGTGCAGCTTCTTCCCTTCTGTGAGATGTAGTTGCATTTAAAGCCGTAATCAACAGTTGTTGTCCCCTTTACTACTTAGAAATTATGTATCTATTTATCTAATATATCATATTCCAATAACTTGCACATAGACTCTTATTGCACTATTTCACTTTTTTAAACAATTTTTGTATTTACTATTTACTTGCACTGTATTTCTGTTTTATTGTGTTGCACTGTTGAAGGAGCCTGTGACCTAAGATGTTCACCGTCATAACTACACTGTAGCTATGTTCGTATGACAAAATAAAAACCTTGAACCTTGAACCTTGAAGTGTCTCTCTGAAAGGCTGACATTATCCACCATGGGGACATCAGCCTGTGATCTTCAGATGGGTCAGGTCAGACTCTTGCTATTCATGTATCTTGTTTGTTTGACTCAAACAATGCCCAGATGACTCAAACCCTTTGGGATGCTGATTTAACCTTTCCATTTCTGTGAAAATGCTTGGAAATCCGGATGAGTCCCCCGCTTGGACAGCTGTAGAAATATGTAGAACAGTTCATACAGCATGATATATCATCATAAAAGGCCTCAGCTGAATTGCATCATCGGCGTATGCTATCACACTTACTATAGTGCTATGGGGAAGGTGTTGGAGACATTTAAGCAACTTGTTACACCAAAAAGGTTTTTTATTCTCATTTTGACGGCAAAATCAATATTTACAGCTTTAATTAAAGACTTCAGTAGGAGCAGCATAATGGGAAAAGGCTTTTACATAGTTGTCTCTTTTGTTTTTAAATAAATAGGGAAAGGATGCGTCACAGTAGAATCTTTTCATCTCCAGTAAACTCCCCATTTAAATGAATAAACAACAGGAAATTGTGAAGATTTAGGCAAAAGTAAAAAAACAATTACACCACTTAACTTTGTGGTCAAACTAAAAGTGTTTGATCTTACATTTCCCATAATGCAACCAATAACATTATTTTCAAGATCCATCAAAGGAAGTGTTTTAAAAACGTAATATTTCACTTATTTGACTTGAAGTACTGTGAACAGGAGACTTGGATTAGATTACATTGTAACGCAGACACCTGGCTAATTTAGTTCAGTCCAATCATGACTACACACTCACGGTCCATTTTGTGATTGGTTTGAGCTTTTAGTCAAATCAGTATCTTTTGATATATTTCCCACCATGATTAAATGAAAAACAAACAGACACTCTTCTGAGCGTTTGCCAGTCACGTTTTATTTCATCTTTGAGAAAAAAAAAGAAATAAAAGAAAAGTTTGGTCTTTGTAAACATCTATATCGGTTTTCATGTCATTTTCAGCATTTAAAAATACTTTACTCTTTACTACGACATTTCCAACATCAACACTGTATTCAGAATGAGTTTAATTCATGCATCGACACACTCGTGGACGGAATGATGATAAGATGCGCGTGTCCACACACACTCGCACTCGCACACACAATAAAAAAGGGATAATATAGCACACTATTTCAATTGTAACTATGCTAATTTCCTGTTCTACTCTGAGGGCTTTTTTTCATTTTACAAAACAAAATCACCAAAACAACATAAAACCTTGGACACAAATTAAACATTGCACAATAAAATAATAATAATAATAAAAGAAATTGAAAAATTGAAATGAAAGATAATTATATCAAAAGCACTTTGTGACCTCATACATAGGGTGGCATGATATATAAATAAAATGGAAAGTAGGAAGTGATATAATATATAAATATTTAGAAGGTAGAGGGGAAAAAGAAAGGTAAAAAACATTGATAAATAGAGGTTGATCAACACACACACACACACACACACACACACACACACACACACACACACACACACACACACACACACACACACACACACACACACACACACACACACACACACACACACACACACACACACACACACACACACACACACACACACACACACACACACGTCTCTGAAATGAAAATGGGAAAATGGGAAAATTGGTTCTTTACAAGCTCAGTATCTTTATATCTCTAACTCATGTACACATAGTGATTTCTGTCTGTAAACACACACTCAGACACACATGCACAAATAATCGACCTAGCAACCGTCACTTAAAGCGTCAACTAAATACACTTTCTTTGCGGGCTTCTGTTGTCATTTTCCAACTAAATTAAAGTGTAACATTGCTAGGAAATATGTTCAGTTTTACTAAAACTGCGGAGAGCCAAAGTTTTGTGTGTGTGTGTGTGTGTGTGTGTGGATTGCTTGCTTTATAACCATATCAATCATCTGTGTTTCTACAAGTGCAGTACGTGTGTATGTGTTATTTACACGTGTGTGATTGTCAGCATCATGATATCACGCAATCGGTTTGTAGAGTCAGTGACCTTAATGTATGACAGCTACTCACACACTGTACACACAAACACACACACACACACACATTTCTTCAAGCAATGTGCCACCATCTATTTCAATCTTGATTGCCAGCCAAATCTAATATACGTCTAATTCGATAGGGACACACACACACACAGGAAATGGAGGGAATCCAATTTCCAGGCCTTTTTTTACTGTGGGTCAGGTTGGCATTCAGGTTCATTAATCTGGCGTTTGGGACTCAGCCAGGGACGCGGGGGGCGAGCCCTTATAAGGAGATTACAACACCAAGCGGCACAAACAAACAAAGGCTCACATACGCATGTAGACCTACACACAACGGATACACATGCAAACAAGGTGAGGCACGAGGAACACAAAGGAAACGATACACACACGTCGGAGGAAACGAAGAGTAATACATGTTGGAATTGGCCCGCAGAGAGAGATCTAATGAATGAGAAACTGTCACATTCACTCTAAGAAGGGCAAGTGAGAAACATCAAAGGAGAGTGACACACACACACACACACCAGCAACAGTCAAGAAGACAACGGCTCGCAGTTAGATGGTCGCTAAGCAACAGGCAAGAGACTAAAAATATGGTTGCATTTCTTCACTCACTTAGAAAGCATGCACGCGCACACACACACACACACACTCCGTCTTATTCCAGAAAGGATTATGAACCTTTAAAGAGCCTACATTGTTAAATCAGTCTCAGTATTCTTGTGGCGTCACTATGAGCCCACCCACTCAGTCTAACGTTAGAGAGGCTGGAGTCATGGGGGGACCGTTTGGCGTCTCAGAGGGTCAGGAGCCATGCCAACCAGTAAGTCATGTCAAAACTAACTGATGACCGACTCCTGTGTTTGAAAATATACGGTGCGCTGCAGGACTGACTCAGGATTTGAGAGGGTCTGGATGGTTAGTCTGACAGTTTCAAATAGGTACGGGTAATTCCATGTCAACAAACAGATTGAGGATAGTGGGATACTTTCAGTAGATTCTTCTACTTTAAGACATTTAGATCTGCATGTTGGGAAACTAATGGAAATATAACAGAATAAAACACGAGAACTCCAAATAAAATAGTATCTGTTTGGGGCTTTGACAAATCTTTCTCTCCAGGATTCCTGACCTCAATATTTTTCCCGAAAGGCCCTGGAAGCACTTAACATGCTGAAGAGTCCTCAGTGGGGGTGTAAACCTGTGTCTAATTTCTAGACAGCAATAGGAAATATTTGCAGCCAAGAAATATTCTTTTGAAAGAGGGCAAGCGCATCGATGGCAGGGGGCCACATCTCTTTATCAGTGAATATTGGCTGTGCCTGTCAGATATCAGCTGATGCAGAAAACAGCTGTTCAAGGTAGATTTCACTGCGACTTTAACAGATTTTCTGGCTGTCGATGGGGACTGCTGTGGCGTTTAAAACGTCACATTTGATTGAAGGGGTGACGCAGGAAGTAATTTCCACCCGTGAGTTTTTGAGCCTGGTGAAGACTGAGCGGGCTTTGTAAGCATTTACATACAATTGAAAGCAGCGGGTAATTTGTCCTTATCTGAAAGAAAAAGGGCGGATGGTGGGCAGGTAAATTGTTGTTTTCGGTCCCATTTTGCTCTCTGTGGATTAAACAAAAAAGCTAAATTATTGTCCTTACAGGATTTTCCTTGAAGTTTACAACGAGCTGTGTGGGCAGCTGAGGGGAAAATGGTTGCTCGTACGCTGCTGTTAACAGAGGGATTACATTTAATAATCACCTGCACCATATGCCATCCCTTCTGCCCAGCTTCAGCCCAGCCCCTGGGCAAGGCAGGGCTATAAACACATACGTTATATAAATCTGGATTCAACGCACTAAGAAAAATGGAGGATTTCATATGATATGTGGCATAATATTCTCTACTACAAACTTTCACACACACCATGCCTCACACTTCTATACAAAAACTAAATAGTTAGCACAGCTTTTGATAAAGGCTCGTACCCATAAAAATAGCAATGGTTAAGCACATATATCTGTAGTGTGAACACCTTTAAATATGAGAGTTTCTTTTACACCTGGCAGCTGGTGGGACTTGTACGACGCCTGCGAGGTAAAACTGCACACTGGAGATGAACGGTGATCTGTGACATTGTTCTTCTATTACATCTTTGGATAACAGAGGATTTGTGATTTTTGTTCAAAGAAACATCCTAACGTGACGACTGCCACAGAACAGTCGTGTGATATTTCAGAGCTGCCGTACATTTCCCTCAGAGACTCCTCTCTCTGTCTGTGAGTCCTCCAGCCGTTTCCCCTGGTGGTGGGATTCTCTTTGAATTGTGTTTCAGAGGAAAGAAGGGCGACAATTTCCTATTTCCTCCGGGGTTTTCACATAAATTAAATATCAGTGTTTCTCACACACATCAATAAAAGTTTCTTATATTATCATGTACAATTAGAAACACTAGTCATAGTTTTGATTCGTCATCAACGTCCTCCTCTTCTTAGTCGTTAACTGGCGTCCATCTTGTTCAGAAGATAGCGTTACATCATTTCCTGTTTAGTCCCGATTTTCGTTTCCTTGCCATTACAAGCGACTTTAGAGTGTTAACAGTCACGCTGTGTATTGCACGACGCTTCTTCATTCAACTTTTACAAAGTGGACTGCTTGGTTTTCCAGACTTTTTTATCACACATTTCTTCTCCATCCCACTTTTCTCCCAGATGCTAATCCGACATTTGTTACATTCTTCCGAACCACCTGCTTAAACCTTTTTTACCTCCATACCTCCATACTATATTTATATGTCTTTATCTTACTTAACTTTTTTTTTTTTTTACAATTGCACGGTAACAACATCAACACGTGACGCCATTGAAAAGTTTAGAAAAGAAAGGGGGGGGGGGGGGGGGGGGGAGACACCTTGGTGGGATAAACGAGGCTGCTGATTGGCGCAAAAGGAGGAGGACTTGGGATTGGCTCAATTAAAAAGAGGGATTGATGGTGGTTACTACAGCGTTTCATTATCACAACTTTAAGACAAGTCCTACAGCGGGTAAGGCAAAGGGAGGGATGAGGGAGGAGTGTTTGGTAGGAGAGAGTGTGTGTGGAGGGGTGGAGAGTATATTTCGCACAGTGTATTCACGAAAAAAAGAAAAAGGAACAGTCCTGTGTTATCCTGCGAGAGGTCCTCCAATGTTATTCACCTGAGGCCCCACATTGTGTGTGTGTGTGTGTGTGTGTGTGTGTGTGTGTGTGTGTGTGTGTGTGTGTGTGTGTATGTGTGTGTGTGTGTGTGTGTGTACATCTGGGATAGGGGTTCAACCTATAAGTCACTGGTAGTATTAACAGAGTACAGTGGGTATGATTCTTCCTGTGTAGACCAGATAGGAAAAAGCAGAAAGTAGCAAGAGAGAGAAAGTGAGGAGAAGAATATGTATTCTAATCCATTCTTCTTTTTCTTGTTTCTTCTCCAGTCAGTCCATCGACTTTATCCACAACATTTTTCTAGTTGTTTTGCCTCCATGTCCTCTTTTATCTTCCTCCCTAAATCTTCCTGTGAGTGATGGCGTCACACCTCTCCTTGCTCCAAATCTCTTTTTCTCTCCTGCTGATTTGGCAGTATATTGAACGATATCAGCCTTTTATTAACTATTAAACCGTGTGGTCCACTGACGATGATGGATGATTGAGGTAACAACATAAAAGCTCCTTTAAAACATACATTTATGTGAAATAAATCTTGGTTAGGAGGGTTTGTGTCCCTTTAACACTGGGTAGATGGTGGGACTCCTTTCCTCAAAGAGCTGCTAATGCAAAAATGACTTAGTGTTTGCAGGAAATAAATAAATGGAGAGACAAAAATATATCTGAAACACTGAAAATCGTAAAAAAAAGAGGAAATTGAGAGTCCATTATTGATCCGCCTCTGCTACCCATCTGTCCTGGACCTGTCCGTCTGAAGACTCCTCTCTCCCTTCCTCTCTCCCTCTCTCCCTCTCCCCCTCTCCCCCTCTCCCCCTCTTGGCAGTGGGTCAGTCTCCTCTCCATTTAGAACACTGGTAGATGGCAGTAGGCCTCCAGTGAAGCCAGCAGGATGTAGATCAGCCACATGGAGAAGAACAGCAGCGACGTGATAATCTTGCAAGTCCGCGGCCCCCCCAGCTCCCCCCCGGCCACCGAGGCCCGCCGCCGGTACAGCAGGATGAGCATGCAGATGACGGCCATGCTGGTGTAGAGCGTGACGGAGAAGGCCAGGTTCCCTGGGTCCACCTTGAACACCTTGCCCCTGGAGCGCCACACCACGGCGGCCAGGGTCCACGCCACGCCGATGCCCAGGAACACGTTGACCGCGTTGGAGCCTGTGACGTTCCCGATGGAGGCGTCGGCGTACTGATCCTGGATGGCGGCCACCTTGCTGGCGAATGTGTCTGGAGGACAAAGACAAAGAGTTTACAATACATTTGAGGCGTTTTGATACCACATTTATTTAATCATAATGACCAATCCACAGAAAAGCAATATGAAAACATACAAAATCAGGCAGGAAACAAATGTAAAACATCAACCTGATGTCAAACAACACATCAAGTAATATGACTTCATGGACTTTTGATTATCTATTATAAATGTCTTGATGAAAGCCACTAAGGAAGTGACCTCAGGGTAACAAGGAGTATAAAACCACCCACCCACGTACTCTATCTATATCTACATCCATAGATATAATCTGACAGGCACTATAGAACAAGTTAGTGTAGAAGAAGTCTATGGAATTGTTAATGAGAAGACTGTTAGAGATAAAGAGAGAAGCACATACGTACAGGCAATTGGTAAAAATAGACACATACTGAGACACATGGACTCAAATGAATTGAGAAAAAGGACTTAGAGGCACGCAGTGGAAATATTTGTATATATATAATAATGTAAGTGGCAAATGCAAAGTATACACGAGCCACAGTTAAGATCCAGGTTGAAAGAACCCCCTGAATTTTAATTTCATTAACATCCATGTGATTTTGTGATGTAACATACATTGAATCGCTTTCAGGGAAATTAATGTTTTAGTTCCGTACTCCGCAGCTGTATATTGGCATCAGCTTGAGACAGAACAGATGTCATTAATGCTGTAACATGATGCAGGCTGCTGCGCGTGCTTTGAGCTCTTTGGTGCTGAACATTGAGGAGGAATTGGGTAAAAGGCGCAGAGGCTCTACGACTGGCTTGGCAGGGAACAGCAGGGAACAGCTGCCAGTTATTGCGCGCCTGTCTCGGCTTATTTCTATTTATAGACGGGCTGGTGAGATGAGTTTCAATTCTCATTTGAATGTTCGGCGAGATTAGTGGAAATTCATATCCCAACATGAAGAAAATCCTCCAAACTTTCTTGGGGGGGATGAAGCCCGTTGGAAGCAGACCTCACAAACAGAAATGAACGTGTCGACATAGGTAAATTAATCTGTGGGTTTGAGACATGAAATGGCACATTATTGCCTCCACACACAATACTAAGTACTGCTGGCAACGCAGAAAATAAAACCCTGTATGAAATGCAACTTCACTAACGTTATCAATTTTCTTGAATTACCTCTTAAAAGACCCAATTACAGATCCATAAATGACAATGTCTAAGCCTCTGAGAAGCTGGTAACTCTAAATATAAAATGGTTTATCTTGGTGATGTTAGTGAACATATTCCTCCTCTCTTTTGATATAAGCGAGCCCCCTCAGCACACCTCCAGCCCCTTCAACAAGCCAATATGTCCTCTACCAGTCTAGCAGTAATGGTAATGTAATTTCTAGATTACAACTTTGTTATCCCCTAGTTTACTATGTTGTTACTGAATAACGGTTTCACATTACTGTAATGTAGAAGAAAACGAAGTGTGAATAGTGTACTTTCCTTAACTGGTCAAAGTCAGAAACATAGCAAGTTGCTATCGTAGCTCATTTGGGCTTCTGAAAGTTTCCCAAATATGTTTGTAGTCCCTAATTGTAATTTTAATAGTAAAAAGTAATTGAGTTGGGAATGTAATTTATGACTGACAGGATTGTCTGAACACTGCTTGGGACTGAGGGATAACTACCATGATAATCTCTTGCCTGTAAGAAAAAGTGAACACGATGTCATCCTTAATACAAAGTGAACCAAATTGGATTTTTAGGATCAACATAGTGTAACTGTTACTATAGATTTTGTGTTTTAATCAGGACTATATCTCCAGTAGAAAGTAAACAAACATGTACCCCCATTGTGCTGAGGTGGGGTTAGTAAAGAAAATTAGCTGACCCTTTAAAAATGATGCTCAATTTCTTGAATGTGACACCAATAAAAAAAGACAAAACTATTTAAGTTCATGCGCCCATAAGCTCAGGAAGCATTGTGTGAAGATAAACTATGATTTCATAGCAAATATCAAATATTGACATCACTGATATTGTTTACAGGCATGAATGGTAACAGATAAGCTCCATAAACCTCTTAACAGCCAGGGACACGCAGCAGTTCACAGCGATCAAGCCTCCGATCAGCATTTGCTCTCTAATTGCCTGAGTCGGCAAAACTGGTGTAAATTGGCGGGATAATCCTCCAGTGTGTCTCCATTGTAATAATGCAGAGCTGCTTATTTCATAAAGTGCAAGTCAGAGAGCGGGTAACAAGAGAGGAGATGGTTCTAACAGACACATGAACACACACAAACACACACGATGGAGCACACACTCCCTGGGGAAGTAATAATGACCTAAGGAACCTGCATCACCTTGGCAGAGAAAACACATTTTCACCCACACACACCTCGGTACCACAGCACACAGAATGATGGATGATGCAACAGGGAAAACACAACATGCAATAAGAGGAGGGGAGAGAGGCAGAATGGAGTAGGGTAACACCGAGTCAGAATAATAATTTGACCGGGATGGGGCACGAGAGCAGGGTAACAGATAAGTGAGGTGGGGTATGAGAGGGAGGAACAGATGAACATCAATGTGGCTTGTGTTGGGACAAACACACTGTTAATGGATATCAAATATGTGTTTACAGTCCCCAAATCCAGCACACAAAATAATATGACTCCTAAAAGAATTGATACAGACTTTGCCGCGAGCAAAATAGTTCCTGCATGGAGGAGTAGCAAAGGAGCTATTCCTATCAATCATAAGGAGGGGCAACAATAAAACGGCTGCGAGAGAGATGAGGAAGGGAATTGAATTAAAGCCCTGGGACAACGCGTGCCCTTCAGGCGCAGACAAGCTCGGGCTCAAGGCTGTGATGGAGCATCCATTTCACACATTTTATTTTGAGCCTGCCTACTGAGGGCGGAAGCTATTCAAATCAAAAGAAGAAGAAAGGATTAGTCCAATTCTTTTATGGGTCTGTCAAATCTGAAATTTGGGAGAACTCAGCATCAGTAAAGGCAGTATGCGCCATGACAGACACATTCAATGATTTGCCTCCATCTTTCTACTCACCTGGCACAGATGTTCCCAGCGCCACAAACACCACGGCCGTCACCGAGTCCTTCAGGCCGACCGTGCAGCCAAAGTGCGAGGCCAGGTCTCCGGTGACCGCCGTCAGGACGCCGATCAGCGAGATGGAGACGATGAAGCAGGCCCAGCCGTTCCAGTACTCCGTGGGCGGGACGAAGGCGAACAGGACCTTCCAGAAGACGGTGAGGAAGTGCATGATGTAGTCGAAGCAGGACGGCAGCCGCTCCTCGCCGCTCTCCTCCTCATCGTCGTCTCCTTTGGGGGCGGAGGAGGATTCACACAGAGAGGAAAAGCAGGGAGATAATTGAAAGAAGGCTAACTTTTAGCAAAAATGTATCCTAATTGATTTGACATCAAATCCAATAATTAGTTACATATTTGTGGTAATAAGTATTCTTGCCAAGAGTCTTTAGGACAGCTTGTCAGATTGTTGCATAAATCTGGCATTGATTAAACAATCAAGATACAACTTAGGAGTGAGATTTAGATGTCAAACTTTGGAAAAAGCCTGTAATACGCTAAATAGCTGCTCATACTATTAGTTTATGGACAAGAGACAAGTATTGATTTACTCATCAGTTGGCAAGAACGCAAAAAAGCACTGTGTTTCTTTCCAGCGGGACTAGAGAAAACCTCCCTCTCTCTAGTGTTAACAGATAGAAAATAGCCCATATTGGGTGTTTAGAATCAGCAATGAAACCTGCACAAGTAGGCCTACACCTTAAATAGTTAAATAAGTGCAAAAGAAAGGTTCAACATAAAATGCTGATGCAAACATTTCCGAAAATGTACTTTATTTATCATCCATCATCTTTTCAAAATGAAGTCAAATAGGAAGTGTGTTGTGTGTGTGTGTGTGTGTGTGTGTGTGTGTGTGTGTGTGTGTGTGTGTGTGTGTGTGTGTTACCTGCGCTGACAGTGACGGCGTTGACAAACTGCTCCCTCCAGCTGCTGCTTCCCACCACCAAGGCCAGGTTTGTCTTCTTGATCAACTTATCTACTGTATTCTACACACACACACACACACACACACACAAACACACACACACGCACACGCACACAAACACACAAAAAGCAAACATGCAGGAGCACACAGACCAGAAAAGACACTCAAGTTGTTAATTCACTCACATCCACACAGAAACTTTTCAATTAGCTCTCATGCTGCAAAGATACATTTAAAAAGTCCGTAATTCATAACACTGACAACTTGAGGGTGGAGGATGCTCATTAATACGATGCTGTGAAATCTAGGAAACCCCTTCAGGCAGAGTAGGGGAGGTTTCTGTTTAATAGCAGCGAGGAAGGGGAATAATGAAAGTTGTTGATGCAAAACAGCTCCAGCAGTCATTATCATAACTCAGCTTTGTGAGGAGGAAACCCTGCATGATTTACTATTTAATAAGAGAGACCACATCATTTTATATTCAATATACTGTGAATTAGTAGTGTCAACAATTCAAATTAATTCCAGTGTGGGGCGACAATTAAGGATTTATGCATCGGACTGGGATTGTAACACCTCAGCATTGTTCAGTAGAAGATGGAGGAACTAGCGTTGCATGCACTAGAGAGGGAGGAAGATGGATAACCTGTTCAGCCCGCCAGATAAGTGTGCTTACTGCTCTCTGCTCACGCACACACACACATACAGAATGACACAAATGGAAAACATAAGCAAATGAAATGGGCAACAAAAATATGATTTTCACCACAATGACAAAAAGACAAAATCATGATGAAATAATAAACAGAATGAAAACACACATTGCATGACGAAGACAGGCGCCTCAAGAGAGAATGATCTGTAATGATCCACGGCTGAATAACAATGCAATGCTTTTTTTACACAACATTTATTACAACTTTTCTTTCCTCTAAGGCACCAAGACGACAGCTCAATTTGAGTTTGTTGTTCTCTTCTGCATGTGTGATATCAAAATGACATGCATCTCAGCAGAGAATCCATTACATGCTAACAAAATGGACCGGTGGGGGGGTGGGGGGAGCTAACACGCACTTTAAACCATTTCAGATGCAATTTGCATTTTGGCTCTGTTTAATTTTGTTCAGGTCCTATTTACATCTGAATGCCAAGCTGGTGGGCATTATTATTTCTACAAGACTACAGTATATGGTGATTCATTCTGAAGAGCTTACAAAACAAGATTGCCTGTAAATGGAAATATGTGCAGAAGAAACCGGCTCACCTTGAATTCGTAGGACTCTTCGATGACCACCTCTACTTGTGTGTGTTCGCCCAGACTGGGACAGCCCATCTTGGCCACTTCTTCGTCCTCTGCTCCCACCAAGGGCTTGTTCTCATTGGAGTCCCCTGCAGAACCCAGAGAAGAAAGGGTCAGTGAGGTCAGTAAGTTGGGGTGTAACTGTATGGAGGTTATTCAGTGACAACTAACAGAAACCAAGTTAAAGGTGATCAATTTCTGTTGCAGTGAGGTAACAGAGGTTGTGTACACATTCACTTTAATTCTGTCGTTTTTTTGTGGTGAGTATTGCAGTGTTTTTTTCATGTTATGATCATATGTTTGTACATTGAAGAACAGGCTTTCTGTTCTGGGGTTCTCTGCATTTTTGCACACGTTTTTATTATTTTTACCTTTACCACAAAACCATTCAGTCACTTTATTAATATTGGTCTGAAAACACATACTGTAAACCTACTGGTCTAGGGGTGTTTACCCCACAGAGGAGGTCATTTTTAGATTTTCGTTGTTTGTTTGTTTGGATTAAATAAAAACGACTGGCCTGGTTTTTATGAAATATTGTGAAATGGTAAGGCATGGGCCGAGGAAGAACCCATTACATTTGGGAGTGGATTCAAATCACAGGGTTCCTTACAAGATAATGCACCTTGCCCTGGCAAAGGTTTGTTGCTGGTGCGAATGATATCACCCTATTAAATCAGTGGTTTTCAGCCTCATAAATCTAGGTCAGAAGGGACCTGCTGCACCAGGAGGTCATCCATTTACAAAATTCACCGAAAGAAAAAGAAGATGACAGTAACCTCTAGCCACTTGAGTTGTTATAATAAGAGCAATGGTAAAACAAAGTCAGGTGATCAAGTGTTAAGAGTAACTCCATAAGGGGTGGAGGGTCAGGAGCGATGGATACCCAGGAGGCCGGTGTTCTTGTACCATATGAAACCAACAACATCTTTATCACAAATAGTTGAAGGTAGACGGTATGTTGCCCATTCCTAGAAAGGTGGTCCCTTTATTGTCTAAACTAAATTAAGTTTTGTGTTTGTGTTCAAGACGTTAAAATGTCAGCCCCTCTTTCATATTCTTCTCTGACAAACAAACATAGAGCTTCGTGGTATAATATTTGTTAGTGCCATACTCCTTCTAGATGTAAAATGTATGAAGTATTATATATGCATTGAGCTTCGGCCTGGCATTGAACTAAAATCTTTTTCCATGTATTTTTTACATTTGTCTGATTTTTACCAGAGCAGGATGAATTGCTTTTATCGATTTGCTGGGTTTTCATTTATCAGAGTGTGCAGGCAGCTGTGAAATTGTAAATGCTAATATTCAAAGAATGATGTGAGAAATCGGATCAATCAAGCTTTCCATGTTATTGTAAATATGAAGACCCACGAGGAAAGGCCGATGTTCTCACATGAAACAATCTCTCTATCTCTCAAACACCAAACGTTCCTCCACACACCCCTCCATTCATCCATACGTCTCCTCCTCTCTCTTCAAACTCAGTGTCTGTCAGTAATTGAGTCAACTGTTATCAGTGTAAACCTGCTGTAATTGAAAAGAAACGACAGCATGTGCGTGTGTGTGTGGTTCAGTGTGTGTATGTCCCTCCACATGTGACAGTCCTATAAAACCAATTAAATTCCCTCTGTGATGAAACATGCCCCGGGCTGCTGGCTCTTCATGACATGACATGGAGAGAACAGACCTTTCCCCCACCAGATCTGTCACTTTGTCTACAGAGGAAGTGTAGCATAAGCAGCACCATCATCACCATCATCACTGCTCCATCTGTGTTCATACAGGACGCATTCAGGCACCGTGTCAAGTGTAGGCCACCCAGCGTGTAGCATAAGGTAAAGGCATGTATGGGTTATACTCAACAACCTCAGTTATATTAGAGTAGGGCAGGGATGGCTACTTCCTGGTTTGTAGGCCAAGCAGGAAGTTAGCATCGCAAGGGATCCCTTAACAAAAACCAATGGAATTTAGGTATATTGCAGAATATAACATGGCAAACAACACGTCTACTTACACGTATTGTTCAGCAGGATAATCTCCAAATATTAACACCACTTTATAACATAAGGCTATAAAGGAACAAGCCTGACCTTGGTCACAACTCATGAGCTTAAGGCAGCTAATGTTCTGTGTGATCATGTTGAGTAGTCTCATTTAGACACTTGTCTTCAACTTCCATTAACATGTTTGAAAACCCAGTGACAGGACTGGAACAATGCTGACTCATTTCTGGGTTGTAGGACTCATTCCTGCACCACTCTATACTTTTTGTTGTTTCAAATGTTTGACTTATTTCTTTACAGGAATTGCACAATGGGAATAAAGTATGTCTATAAACATCTTATATGAGATTTTGGTTAATTGCCATTTTCCTTGTCATTGAGGCGCTAAATAATGAATTAGTTGCAATCTTACTTGTGTATACTGAGGGTGGGAAGTGAGAGAAATACTGTATGTCGTAGAGCAATGGTCCCAAACCTGCTCTGAGTGTTTTTTATTGGCCTGAAGAAAAATAAATCAATGCTGCTGCTTTCCCACCCCATAGAATAATGTGTAGTGGTCTGAACCCCAGGTTGACAACCAGTCCATTAGACAGAGGTTAGATGTGTGTACATTATTCAGTGAGGAAGAGAACAGAAGAAAGGATAGAAAAGGGTGAATTGAGGATAACTGAGACAAAGGAAAGGGCTCTGTAAAGTGAAAGGACTCAACAAAAGTCACTCCACATTTCTTTTTGTCTTTTCTGTCAACATTCGAAAGAAATGTCAAAGCTGAACAAGCAGTAGAAATTACTTATTGACTTTCAGCGCCAGTTCTCTTTAGCCTTGAGTAACCTGCCAGAGAAGCTGTCTGTCACTGTGATTGGCCTTTTTAGAAATTAACTTCCTACATTTTTTAAAAGTTGAGGGGCTTAATGTTTTAGATTAGTGGATTTCAAAGCGCTGAGGTTATCTATGTGGACTCAAAAAGCATTAACTGACAGAGGAGAGGAAGGAACATGATCAAAATAGATCATAATTTAAATTGCGTTAAATATGGAATTATGAACAAAAAATGAAAATGTGTAGTCCTTTCAAACACAAATATAGATTTTTTTTTTAAACACCTCACAGCTCACGTCCAGAGTTCTTTAAATCCTTTCCACGTGCTTTGTTCAGTGTGAAATGTTTCCCAAGTTAATCTGAGTTTGGATTGGTGCATTCAGACAATCAATGAGAGTCTCACTCTGTGAATAAGACGTTGGTGTGCAGGAGACCTGAACCTTAAATTAAGACTCATTCTGTTAGTCACACACTCTTAGGCCCTGACACACCAGGCAGTCACCAGAGAACTCGCCGACACCCGACACCGACAGTTCCATCGACGAGTTCTCCTGCGTCTTGGCCGTGTGTCGCACTGGAAATCACCGCAAAGACTTCAGCCGAGCACGTACGAACTGCGCATGCGTGAGTGGCAATAACTCTCCTTACCAGCAGGCGGCGGTAGTGTGTATTCGTCATTCAAAATAGGCAACAACCGGAAGACAGAGAAGAAGAACAGACTGATATAAACAAACAAATAGCGTGTGCCGTTCCATTTTCACTCTCGTCCATCGAAAACATGTTTTAGAATATAAAAATACATGAATGATGAAATGAGCACATAAAGTGCAGACATACTATAAAATCACAGTTAATAGACCTGCATCTGATGATCGCAGTGTTCTGGCGGGTGTGTAGTTTATTGAGTCAGCAATGTAATAATGGCCACTTCTTGCTAAATTTACGATGAGATGAAAAACCGGACTTGACCAAACAAATCACGGAGCTCTCAGCAGAGGACAGCCGGGGACGCTCCCGCCGATATCAGAGATGTCCCTGCTATGTGTGGGAGGTAAGAGAGGACATTTAAATCGTTTGTTTACGTCCCTCACTTCCGTTTCGCTTCTCATTTGCTAGCTGAACAGCTGATCAGAGTGGTTTCTTGGCCCGATAGCTTGTGTCCGACACCCGGCCGATTCAACATGTTGAATCGGCCGGGTGTCGACCGTGAAAGGCCAAATAAGGCGTGTCACGGCCGAGGGTTCGGGACACACCAAATTGACTTTGGGCGACAAGGAACCCGTTTTCGCCCAACAACGCAAGACGGCCGATATCGGCCTGGTGTGTAGGGGCCCTAAACACACAAACTCACTCACCGTGTTTCTGCCCTATCTCCAGCAGAATGGGCTCTCCCAGCTCCAGGGTGAAGGTCTTGTTCTTCTCATACAACTCATCATCAATGATCTTCACCTCGATGATCTTCCTGTTAAAAGAAGAAAAGAAGATATTGTTAAAAAGTTGCACTCCTCTGTTTTGTCTTGCAGAAGATGATGAGCAGCGTACGCAAGATTAAAACCCAAGTTGACATTACTCAGAGGGGCACTCTTATGAGGCAGCTTACCCCCCCAGGCCCTGGTTATATATTTCTTCCTGCTGACAGTGATGCAGCACAGCACAGCCACAGTAGGAAATGTACAATTAGGAGCACCTAGGGGAAACCCTACAATTGCAGCGCAAAGAGTTTTGAGGGGACACTATCCAGAACACATAGAGTACGATTAAAAGTAGTTGTGTGAAAAATGTCTTATTATATGGAAAAAAGGTTAGATGGCATCTCTGAGATATGTCAGTATATTTAGATCAATTTAAAAAAGTGAAAAAATATTTAACATACATTACTTGAAAAAAGAGTATGGGAGCCCTGAGAAGGAAGTGAGAAAAACAGTTTTTTAAAATCTGATATTTCTGAGTTTAATGCACTCTAATCACACCATTATTTTTGCAATTTCGATTATTTTCTCACTTTTTTCACCTGTTCTAAAGCCTTAAACATAGGTGATATTTATTTGTATTTGATCTAAGTGCACCATTAAAAAAAGGTTTGCCAGGTGTGTCTAGCTAATGTAGGCAGCAATTACAAATTAGTAATATAAAATGTAATCAACAGATACTGTACAAAAGTATTTGACTGCTGTGTAATTGATGCTGGTACACATATTTGTATTGATATTGGAGTATAATAACCTCAGTATGAATAAAGTAAATATTCAAATAACTAAATCTTTAATAACATCCCATAATTAAAAAAATGTCCTGGGTACCAAAATGAGATGTGTATACGTTTTCTATGGAAATCACATCCGTTTGGCCTCCTTTTGTCCTGTTTCCACCCAGAGTTATATGGGTGACAGGCAATGAATTCATTTCCACCTGGTGGTGTCATCATCTGCTTCCCTGTCAGCCATGTTGGCTGTGACACCACAAATAGGCTTCAGTTCAACAAAGAGAAACCAGAGGGAGGAAGGAGTGGAGGAGGGGGTGAGAGAGTGATGGAGGTGTGGGGAGCTGGAAGCACATTGTTTTCATTGGTGAGCTGTCACGGCAACAGCGGATAAAAACCGGCTGGATTTTCTATTTCCAGAGTCAGGTTGAGCTGCCTCCTCTCAACAATGTTGGAAAAGATATGAAAGTGTGGTTTAGTCAGATGTGGAACAATGGAGGGGAAAAAACACCCAACAACGATGAGTGATGTATGCAAATCCATTAATTACGTGAAGGACAAGTGAGAAGAACAAATTAAATATCTGTTATATTTTAAATCTTGCATCTGATTTATATGTTCCTGTCACTTCCTAGGAACATTTTAGGCTTTTAATTTGTTTAAGCAAACAATCAAAATCAATGGTTATGCGAATCATTGACATAAAAGATTTAACTCAATGAAAATAATATGAATATATTATATATAATTTTTTACCTGCAGTTTTAGAAATGTGACATTTTTGTCTTCAAAGATAATATATAGTACCGTTTTCATGACATTACCCATTTGTTTCTGTGTTGTTACTAAATCCCCGAATGTGATACGACTGAAAGTGTAAAATCAAAATAATGGAATTGATATTATCTATTATTAAAGGGAGCAACAAGGGTTATTCATTTGCAGCCATCTGTCTGTGGTGTTTGGAAACTGGAATCGGCAGTGAGATAGAGGAGGAAACACTAATGTAAAAAGGAGATAAAAGGGATAAGGGGGAGAGATGACAGAAAAAAAGAAAAAAATTGGAAAAATGAAAAAAGGACAAACAGAGATTACGAAGCGAGAGAGGGAGGGAGTAAAGAATAAAAAGGAACGAGGCAGAAAGACTGAAAGAGGTTGAAAGAGGGGAATGAGTAATGCAGAGACTCCATTGAGATGTGAAGGGTTATGACTCAATACTCGGTGAGTTCACTCAGGGGAACAAGCGCGCGCACACACGCACACACACACACACACACACACACACACACACACACACACACACACACACACACACACACACACACACACACACACACACACACACACACACACACACACACACACACACACACACACACACACACACACACACACACACACACACACACACACACACACACACACACACACACACACACACACACACACAGCAGCGGACTAAATGTACCTTTCATATACAAACAGACAAACCTCAACAGGAGGAAGCACACAGTGGATATGTACACACTAAATGTCTTTTTTGCTGCACATCGTACACATTACGCAGAGAGCGGTTTGTATGAACAGACAGTCAGCCGCCCCCACATGTAAACCACGCTTCACCGGTGACACACAAACACACACATGTACACACAACTCAGCTGAATGCACAAAAACAACATGCAAACATGTACCTGGTAAACACTTGGGGATTCGTACACATATGGGTCAATTAATTAAGTTAATTTACACATACAAACACACACAAACACACACACTGCAGTGCTTTCATTATTCATAGTTGGTGCTAGCTGTAGCAGCGCTCCATCTGTGCCCTTCTTTTCTTCATCTCTATCTCAGCCCTCCCCCTCCCCCTACCAGCAACTCTGATGGGATCCTTATTATCGGTGATTTCAATATTCACCTGACTGATGATAATGTATTGCACCTCCTGTTACTAAAACTAGAGAGAGAAATATCCACTGCTGTTGAGTGATGATAAAGGTATGTTCAGAAACAGGTCTGCAGAAGATTTGAGCAAACTATTTGTAAATCCTAACTTGGATTTAACTTTTTCTCATGGGACGAGTGTGTTTAAAATCACAAGCTGCTGCGAAAACTCGTCATTTCAACCTCTCTTCTTGTCTTTCTTTCTGTGTCTTTCAGTTTCGTCTCTCATTTTGGTGAATAATGTGCTTCAGGTTGATCTGGAAGCCTACTGCTAAAAAATGGTGCGCCAGGGCTTATTTTGTTTATTAATGGTTTACAAAGCTCTGGCTTTAAATGTCATGGACTTAAGTTTGGTTAAGTTGATTAGACACTATGAGAAATACATTTATAGTTATCAGCACAACTACAAAGGGTCAAGGATAGCTGATTATAGTCTAATACTTGACAGATTCAACAGAAAAATGAATCAAATCAGTCAAACTTGATCAAAATTAGATAATGGGATAATAAGCTAACACTTCATTCTTTCTTGCAAGCTGGACCTTCTTTGTTGTGACAGCAATGTGGCTTTTATGTAAAGCTGTCCAGGTTGAAATATCTCAACAACTTCGATTGGCATGTCAGTCAATATGTCCTCATCAACAACAAGATGCCATGAAAAACATCTGGACACACACTCCCGCCTCCCATGACTTCATGAAAAATGGATACATTCCTGAATGCAATACGTTGCTCGTCGTCTCTCTTCTCTGTTTCGCCTTCTCTCATATTATTTCCACCTTGTTACTTTTTCACACCTGCTCCCCAGAAACTTCCCGTGTCAGACAGTTTTCTGACAGCAGACAGTCTGACACAAAACACAGACATAGCAAGGTCACTGAACACAGCACCTGCACTGTCAGAAACAAAGGCAGCCGAGTAAAAAGAGTGACGGAGCGGTAAAAAAAGAAGGTTGATTGAAAAGCCCCAAACAGGATCAGGGTGGCTGTAAATCAGTTGAATGGATACGTTTTACATCTCCCCAGTGTGTGTGTGTTTGCATGTGGCCCTAAAGTTCTTGTGGAGGAGAATGATTGAGCGACAGTTTGATTTGATTAGTTGAGACCTCATCACATTACTTAATGGACAGACTCTCTTTATATCTCTGCCTCCATCTCTTTCCATTTTCTTCTGGCGGCAGTTTTACTTTTGATTTACAGTCTACTGGAAGCCGTGTGTTTGTGTGTGTGTGTTTGCAGGCTTTAAAAGACTCCCATATTTCTTTAGTGCTGTGAGCATATGTGTGTTTGAGAGAAAGCATCTTAGAGAACCGAAGCAGCAAGCATCTAATTTACTTGAGTGAGGTTGATTTATACACACACTTTAGCTTTACCGTTTCTCCTTCTGGCGGAAACTCTAAATCTCCCAGACTCTCTTACACACAAACACACACAGTGCTGTGAATCTATTCCTCCCGTACAGTAAAACTGAGATCATGAAAGGTTTTTAAAACTTGAACAACAATGCAAGCCACCAGGCATTTCATTTTCTTTGTCAGCTGACCACAAGAATTGCAAAAAATTGGATTAAAGTAATTTGATTACAGTCCAATGGCTTGTGAGATTCTAATCACATCACAGTATATTCAATGTACCCATAACATTTCTAAATCCTTCAAATGATGGATGGTCCTGACTGTATGTGGAGTTTATGCACTTTGTACTGCAGGCTGAAAACTCAAATATCTTATTTGTTTCATTTGTTTGGTTAAACTAATTTTGGACAACACAGACGTATTATCAGATTATAAAGAAATAGCCGCAAATTGAATTACTAGGATCTCAGATCATTGAAATGTTCAATTACAGGGGACAGGCAGAAAACGTTTCCATTTTACTGAAATACCACAATTGTTAATGAAACTCTAGTCCAGTGTCCCACTATCAGGAATGAGATAAAAAATAAAGTGTGAAAACTGCTATGGTTGGACTTAGTTGGAATTTAAGTGACAGCAGCTTTTTCGTTTTTACAGTACAGATAGTAGAAAGTGCAGAGAGGCAGAAATGTAAAACAGAGCTGTGTGCAATCAAATTATATGAGTTGGTCGAGATCTCTCGCACAAACACACCCACACACACTTCTACAGGAGCAGGTAGGCTGAAAGAAAGCCTTCGCCTGGCTTTCTCGTCGGAGTGGTACCAACACAAACAAAACAATTTGAGGAAGGCCAACAGAGAGCCGGAGAGATACAAAAAAACTCTTAAGGGGAGCGATATTACCCCTCTTAATGATATCATGGAACGCATAATGAGCAACCACACAAAACACACTCC